GCTCTATACTCTCATAGAGCACGCTACAATAAGCTAATCAGAATCCCTGTTAGAATGGTTCGAATAATCTGATTGGCTGTACAAGACAAAAGCTGTCAAAAGTGTCAAACCATCAAAGTTCAAAAACCATCAAAGTTCACACTCTGCGATAGTTTACAAACTAAAATAATTCGGCAGGTCGAATTTAACGCTTTTGCCTGAAGTTTTTAATTCAGAATCTTGAAGTGAAATGTTCAGTGAACTTCAGCCGAATTATGGCTCATAAAAACACGCGGGTTTTTTCACATGACAAGGTAGAAAACAAACTGTTCAAGTGCGAGTGTTTTTTAAATGAACGACAGCTGAATTCACCGGAACATGAAGATCGCTCGGGATGACAGCGCCGCAAAACTCGGCTGCAGTGACTGAAGTGACTTTCCACTCAACACATTGGAAAGGATATCAGAGCGAGCTCTTATTTTTTCACTCGAAGAGCGGCATGATAAGTGAGCCGCGATGGACTTCAGTATGATCATATTTGCTCAGACACCGTCATGATTAGTATGAATTTTAACAGTTATGCCAGTTTGGTTATATTTTTCATCATTTCTGTTTTGTTCTGTTCTGTTTTTGAACTCTGAACTTTATATACTATACGAGTGTTGGCTGTGTTTGATTTTCATTACCGTACGTAAGCTTGCAATCTAACTGAGCGTGAAAATCTTTAAAACTCGGAATGTCTATTTTGTTTTTCCTTTGAGGATTTTCGTATCTGTCCACGTTTTAATAACGTAAATAACGGCGCCTGGTATGTTTCTTTGGTTCTTCTGTTACTACTTGCCGGCTCGCTTGTTCCGAAATTTCACTTTCAATTATCAGAAAAAAGCTAAAAAGAAGTCCCGGAAAAGGTCGAACATAGTACAATTTGGCAGATGGCGTGACAGCTTAAGCTCAGTTCTATGCTCTCTACTCTCATAGAGCACGCTCTTTCAACCAATGACAGCGCGCGTTATATCCGAACTTTATTACAATGTTGTTTCGAAGAGATTTTTTTCAATTTGCTTCGACTCTTGCCTGAGAACTTGAAGTTAGATGTCAAGATGGACAGGGATGTCGGCATGTTACTTGTCTACCACTATATACGAGATGATCTCGATATTTTTGTTATTAAAGGAGGGTTTTATCGATTCGCTTCGACTTTTTTTGCGGACTTTAAGTGAGGTAGTTGGGGGGACAAGGACTTCGGCACGTTCTTTTCTTCCACTGCGCATAAAAAGTAACGATCTCGATACTTTGGTTTTTCGAGAAGGTCTTTATCGATTCGCTTTGACTTTCTGTGGGGACTTAAAGTTAGGTGAAGGGACGTCACATATTCCTGATTGATTAATGTTTATGAGAAATAATCTCAAAATCTTTGTTCACAGCCTCAACACCAGAAATAAACTGATCGCACAGAGACATCCCGAGAAACGTTCTCGGTCTGAAAGGGACTACCATTTATACTAAAAATTCATAGATTGATTCGCATACCTCCTGAAATATCTCTTTGTAGCCAGGCCATGCGTAACATAAACCAGTCAACCATTAGTACGTTAATAATGTGATTTATCACGGAAATCAATGGCAAGCAATTAAACGCCTTCTTGATACAACGGAAGAATAACAGAATGCACGCGGCACGCATCAAAGAGTCTCCCGACGCAGAGGCAAAGCTAATGAGTTAGTCTGAAGTTAATTGGCAGTAAGGAAATTAAAATCTAAGTACTTAGTTTCATGACGCATTTATCTTGAATAACGCAAGAAAGCACCTTGCAATCAAAATATTTTCGTTATTTTCATGTACAAGTGTTATGGAAAAGGCATGAAAAATGAAAAGTACTAATTATCAGGGAATCGTAACAGTGCACACGTACATATGGTCAACTTGATTTCTCATTTACTTAATAACGACGAAGTCGTTACATGATCACTCAGAAAAAAACATTTCACTAGGCAGTTTGTTATTATTGAATAAATGCTCATCCGTATTTCAGTATCGATAAAAAGAATTCTATCCACTTATCGTAGAGTTGTTGACTCAGAAGTGAGAAATGCTTCATACCTCTACTATCGTTAAGCCCTCGCAATCCTCCACTTCCGTTTGTCACTTCATCTTTCAGATCGTCAACTGGATTTTTTCCATCTTCTCCTTCGCTTGATGTCTTACTTTCACTGGTCTCACCGCCCTCTGCAAATTGAAAAACAATATGCAAATGCAATTATGAAAATTAATGAAAAGGGAGTGTTGTTTTAACAGCAAAAAAAAAATTTTTGAACTCCCGTGCTTTTGGATAATTTTTATTAACACATTTTATCCAGCCAATACAATTTTTTTCTAGGAGCGTTAAAGAAACTGGAAATGGTTTACCTATTCTCTTAAAAGCTTAAAATATGACATAACCACCATGTTTACGTCCCACCTTCGCTTTGAGGCTCGATTTCTTCATCTTCTAATTCAGGTTTCAGCCACTGGTTCGTGTTTTCTATGATCACTGTCCTACTTTCGCCACTCCGTTTGCTTCCTGTATTTAAATCACAAATATCATAGTTAATGATTTAAAGTTTCATTTCGGACGGAGAACTGAGCGTTGCGCACAAACGTTCAAGAAACCGCCGAAAACGATGGAACATACCATCACAAAAACCTAACTGCTTACCCTCAAATGATTTTTTTCCCATCATCGTGGTGCGATTTTTTTTTGGCAAAAATATGCCTTACCGTGAAGATGAAAAAACTTTCCTTCACCTTCAACGTTAGTTTTGATGTTGTTCCATCGAGAAGGCTTGCAAATTTAACCTGTTGCTGGCAAATAGTAGTTAGAAGTAGCAGAAAAAAGTTCTTTTCCCGTCAAACAGGTTTATCAAGATTGGTACCAACCGTAATAACCAACAACATTTCAGGCCTCAAATCGAGGTAATCTGACGTTGATACGAACGCTTTTTGTCGAGTCGATTTTCTGCTTTTCTTCGATTGCGGCAATCACCCGAACTCCACGCTCGACCGTCAATAACTAAATGAATAGGGAATAGAAGGTAACTTCTTTTCTCTCTCAACCCTGTTTCGTAAAAAAAAACATTCAGTAAGTTTTGACATCCAAAAAAAAACATGAAATGACTGCATCCTGATACTTAACCTTTACAATAATAAAGTTAATAACACGCATACAAATCATGCCCGCCTAATCTTTTTCCCGTGCTGCAATGATAAGAGTGACAGACCTCATAAATTCCCTTTTCGAGTAAGTATCTTTCTTTTTTATTTAAAAAAAATAACTCAATGTTAGCGTGTAGAGTAGTATGTTTCTCGCACTAATCAGATTGCCGCATTGGGGTATGTATCTCGCACCAATCATAACAGCATTTGGATCTTGCACCAATCTCAGCGTTTAGGTATTGTTTTCTTGCAAATGATGTCATGGAATCAGGAGGCTGTGCACAAAGAATGGCATTAACCAGAAATTTGGGGCTTACTTAATAAGTGTAATGGTTTGTAGCCTTCGCGAGAGCCTCGTTGATTAATTTCGAGATTTGCATTTAACTTTTTGTATCAAATTTAAGTTAAAACATGTTTTTTACGCTTCTTTATTCACAACGCACACGCCAAAAAACTTACATTCCATCAAATACTATTAAAACTACGTCCAAAGTCCGATCAGAACATACCCAATCATTGCACTACAGGAACATTAGGCATTTTTTCACGTGCTTGAATTGTATTCCACCATTCAAATTCCATTTTGCCTCATTAAACTTCGGTCCATCACATGTCATTTCCCTGTAAGCAACCTGCATTTTATCACGTATTCTAAGCACATTATCCAACCCCATTGAAAATAATTCACATGGAATGAAATGCTACTGACAGGGAGTTTTCCACGTAATTCTCCCGCGTTTTGACTTTTTCTATGCTAAAATAAAGCTCAAATTTTAACTACGTATTCCTCACACAGAGGGCAAAGTCCAAGTAGGCAACAACCAATCAAGGAGACCTCTTTAAAATATTATCCTTTCCTCTTGTTCAGTGTATCTTCACTTTATTCGAGATCGCAATATATCTGTGGTCAGGGTCTATTGACAATACAACAGACTTTCAGTTTTCATTTCGTAGTAAAATAACGTGGAATTATATTCTTGAGGCAACTAACTGTAGAAGAATAATTTTGATTTTCTGTCTGATAGAGGAATGGCGGTGTTACTTTGTCTCGTCACGCAACGCATTCTCACCGAACAACGGCTGCGAAGGAGACTACGGTAAGCGTGGCGCTGATGCACTTTATTTTTGCTTAGAAGTATTTAGAAAATAGAGACAAAAGACCACAAAATACCTCTGGGACTTCAGCTAAATTAGGATTTTTTTCGTTCTCTTAAGGTGAAGTAACGCGACATTTTCGTTCTTTTAAAAGTTATGCTCTTTTTCTGTTACAAAAATGAAAATATTAGGGACACAAAGTATCCCATCTCAACCCACCCAGCCAAAAAGAAAACTCATGAGTTATGTATTCTTCCTTGCATGCCCTTGTTTCATTGCTTGTATACGTTTTTTTCCTTGTTGAAACTGGTTTAGCGCAATAATTGACTATTCTAGTTATGCCTAGGTTCAGATAATTTTTTCCATTTTTTGAAATTATGCACTGACCAAAGCAATGAGCTGTTATGATAACATTAATAATCAACCCCGATCACAACTTTGGTTTCCATCACCATAGAGACAGTGTGTAGACTCCTACGTTGGGGCTTTCTTCAAATTGGAGAATTTTTTCCCCTTGAACAATGATTTGACTGTTCTATTCTCGGAAATGTAATTTTTATGATCAATTGATGATAAGACCTCATGTCGTACCAATCATACTCGTGATAAACAAATCGGATTCTCTCTGCACGGTGTCCGATTTTTCTAACAGACCGAATTAGACTCCACTCAGTCCTATTACTATTATTATTACTAATAATGATAATAATATCACAATAATAATATCATACAGTTACTCTACTTCTTTACAATTTGATTTATTTTCGTTGGACCACTTGGGCGTCACTTCGTGATTTTCTCGAGAAAAATGTTAGATTCTGTTTAGATTCTGCGTAAAAAATTTAGTGTACCAGTGTCCGTCCCATTTATCATGAAAGGTCAATTCAGTCCGTTGTTTTGTTCAGTTTTCTTCGCTTTCTTGCGATGGAGAGGATGGAAGCACGGACCGATACGGGCTCGAGTCTAAATCAGTAGTGCGAGGTACACAGGTCAAGTAAGTCTTGGTGAATGAATTTAAGCAGTAGGACTGGGTAAACTCATATACTGTTAACACCAAAGCTAAAACAAAGCTAAAAAATACGTTTTTAAACTGCTCTGTCAAATGCAGCTTTCTATTGGTTTCTTCATAGAAGTTGCTTGAACTTATGTTTGTCGACCTCAAATTACAAAAGTTAGTGTTACTTGAACCAAATGTAAACTTCGGTTTTCCATTTTCTATCGCGAATTCTCATTCTGTTAAACCAAGAGAATGTAAACTGTTTACATATATCCTTGGTTAAACCCTGTTGAACCAAACATGTTTCGCTATTGTGAAGGGGGCAGAAGTTACGAACTTTAACGTATAACCTGAAAGAGGCGTCGCTTTATGATAGGAAACACAGGCCCCTCTCAATCATGCTGCCTGCCTGCAAAGGCCCACACCAACCACCATCTTATGCCAAGCAGAACCGTCTCTAGATAAAATCATATGCAAAATAGGGCTACTTCGTAGAGGATCTTTTCTGCAACAACCGATGTCCCAGTTGCCGTAGACTCTTTTCATTCAATCAAAAGAAAAGAAATTTTAAGAAAAATTGCTCGCAATCAAAAAGTTACCAGTTGATCGTGGTATAAGAAGCAGAGTTCATCGCGGTAATTATTTTCCATTCCCTGAATAACATTTCCAATCGTTCGAAACCTAGGTTAGGATTGTGGCTTTGGATATTCTCAGCAGCATTTCTTCGTACTTTCGTTTTGCGTCTGTAACTTATTTTCAAGATCAATGCCCATCGTTTGTCGCAATGACCTCTTTGCAGTTTCTTCATCGTTCAAAGGCAAACAGGTGTTCAATATAAAATCAAAAACTTTCTGAACGTTTTCACCAGATTTTGCACTCGTTTCAAAGAATGGTTTCTCGTTAAAACTACCGGTAGGTCTTCCCTTCTTTTCATTTAGTTCCAAAGCTAATATTTCGCCAGCGGAGGATGGAATTTCCCGAGAACTGCTCGTTATAATATCTTTTTTTGTGCCTACTACCACTACAAGACAGTTTGGTTCGGATGCGTCCAGCAGTTGTAGATAGCGCTCCCTTAGCGCGCGAAGAGATTTGCCCTGTGAAATGTCATAAGCTAGAATAGCTGCTGAAGCGCCCCGACAGTAAAATGAAGACAGGCCTGAGTATCTCTCTTCACCTGCCGTGTCCTAAAACGAAAAAGAAAAAATTATTTTAAGTATGCTGACTACACTTTCGATGAAACATCTTTCCACAGGCACTCTTTGCCTATTTCTTATCTTCTATGCTGAGCATCCGCTGCCCCCTCCCCCTCCATCCGCTGCCCCCTCCCCCTCCATCCGTTGCCTCCTCCCCCTCCATCCGCTCCCCCCATGTACAACCTTTTAACAGTTTTTTCCAGTAAACAAAAGTTGTTTTTGTTGTTTTCCTTATGGAATACACACCAGTTCTCCAAAACTGGAGTACTGTTGGAAAAAGGAGATCCCATTTTGATCCTGATCACCTGTTATGTGTACTGGAAACCTTAAAAAAGTCGTAAAATAATGACTCGACCAGAAGCACTGATAACGTCGAAAGGCAACGATGACAACTTTTTCAAGTTAATGAATGGCTGCTTGATATTGGGTTTCAAAAGTAATCCGGGATTACCTTGAATTTGTTAAACGTCGCTCTGTGATTGTTCTACAAAACTCGTGGTATTCTTTCAACCAATCAGAAGTAAACCGAGTGCCACGTGTGACCAAACACCTGTGTTTTCCCACGCTTTTGGTAGATTGGTTTTCTTCGCTTTGAGTTCCCTTTGGCTGATGATGATTTTAACCTGATTGGCCATGTGATAGCTTTAGTTTTGGTTTTTCGACGTCTATATCAAATTTGCTCTAAAAGTGATAATTAACAATCATTTCACAGTAAATGCTTTTATTCAAAACTGGATCATTGGATAATGCAATTCAAAAGTTTTCATTGGCCAAGCCATATGTGTTATGAGCCATTATAACATGAAAATGAGTTAATGTTAAAATTGGGAAGGTTTATCCATGTTTGGAGGCGTTCTTGATGAAAGAATTAATCCACTTGCACTAGTAGGATATGATATGATCATGGCCAACTCAGCATTCTACAGCGGCTATCTATCATCCCATATCCAGTGCGTGCTCATGGAATAATTGCTTAGTAATCTATAGAATACACATAAACACCATTACCCAGATGGCAACATTATATGGTCCCCACTGCTTTAGAAAGAAAGATGCTCCAATAGTCTGTGGGAGACATGACAGTTAAAGCATTTCAGCCAAAAAAAAATTTGACAATTTTAGGCATTAAATGTCTCATATAAACCTACATGTGGTGTAATCATATAGTCTATGTGGCCATAAATTTCTTGTAGCCAGTAGGGGTTGGTAAGATTAAAGAACTTATTCCTGGTGGTCTGTCAACCAGTGTTCGGTCATTCATGGACCAACTGTCAGCCCCTCATGTGCTCACTGTTGTAGTTTGCTGAGTGATAGGTCTGGGATAAACTTAACAATGCAGCAATGCAATATACTCAAGAAAGAGAAAATTTTAAAAAGGCATTAAAATTATGAAAATAGGAATAAAGGGTATGGGGGAAAAGAGGAAGATTCAGTTACCAATAGGGATTCCACAGCCTAACTTTAGATTACCTTGTGGGTTCTCTGACTAACACTGAGCTTCAGGGTACATGTTGGTAGGTGAAAGTTGTGTATTGTACAAGGTTCAACCTTGTTATTGTCTTAAAGAGGTAATTTTCAGACAATTCAATTAATTTTCTGAAGCTCTTATAAAACACTTACACTGATAGTATCTCCTGTAAAGACTCCATTAAGATATCTTTGGATCAATGAGGTTTTTCCAACACTAGTATCACCAAGAATGATCACTTTCAAATCTCTGCCAAAAGTAACACCAAAAAAAAAGTAATTTTATGGAAAGTAAATCCTCTACTTCAGTTTGTTTTTCTTCAATATTTTTTACAACTTTCATTTCATTAATTTTATTCAGTTCTTTGTTCATTCTATCATTCATTCATGCATTCAGAGAGTTAAAATGAGTCAGCCATTCATTCACTTTGTTTCTGCTGGCTTGATTATTGAGACTGTTTTCTAGTCACTTCTTTTCATTATTTTTATTTCTTTGAGCCCAAGTCAATTTAAACCTCCCATAGCAGTTTTTGCTCAAATGAATCTGTGGCAGGGCACAAACATATTTATGTCCTTGGAAGAACATAAACCGCTCATTGTTTTATTTAAACTGTCACAATCAAAACAAACACACATTCAGAAAATCCATTAAGCAATGACCATTATCGATTGTGGGCCTTCAAGGTGATCATGACAACAGTCAATCACCAAAGTCATAAAACCAAATCACTGTTACCACTAAAAGTTTGATCATGGCACATCTGATCCACTTATTTATATCAACTTCATGACATTCTAGGGATATTTCAGGTGTTCACACTCTTGTTATCTTGTTAATCATTCAACTCCTATGAGTGGCTGAAAAAACTTCTCCTTACAATATCAGTACAATATCAAGCAGACAGTTGATGAGAATAAAGTAAAAAATGCATCAGGGGATTAAGAGTTGATCCAATACCAAATTCTCCAAACTTACATGTACATCATAAGAATTGTATGACAGACAGTAAGGAGAATTACATGAATTTAATAGTATCTTTAAATTTTTTTCCCAAAATGACCTGACAAGAATGAAAAACATATTTCACTTACGCTTTCTTTTTAGTCGCTGACTGCTGCATCTTGAAGACAAGGTGGCTCTGCTCTGTCTGCTTCTCTCTCTTCAGTGTGTTACATCTGACAATTAAGAGAAATAATAAGTATGCACTTCTGACAGTTTTTTTTTCTTTTTTTTTCTTTTTTTTTTTAACAAATTACCTGAATGCTTGATTTATTCTACTTGTTCAATGATTTCACAGGAAAAGCCACGCTTCCTAATGGTTTTTCAGGCTGACTTCCACGGGAGAGGGGGTGGGGTGGTACTTACTACTAATAAGACCAGCAGGGATATGCCGCTGAGTGAGGTCACTTTTCTATGTGGATTGACTATAATGGGATTGTTCTTACAATAGAGTTGCTAGTATGGGGTCACACATTTTTGGCATTTTGAGGGTTAGAAAATTCTGGTAAGCAGGGATTATTATTGCCATTAAATTTTGTCACCAAATTACCAAATGTGACTACTGATGGGGTCTATAGTTGAACAAATAATGGGGTAAGGGTTTTGAGAGACCAGTGGCACATACCCAGCAAAAATAGACCCAAGTAGCCCTCCCCCCCCCCCCACCCATTATTACTTCTTGCACAAATGAGATAAGTCTATCACAGGTTGTACCCTTAATGGGTATCTTGTGGTTTCACCCATATTTTGTTAGTAAGTGCAGCCCCATTTGTGTATCAGGCTAAGTTGTTCAAACAATATTAACATTTATACTAGGTTAGCTATGTGATACACAAAGCGTATATCACCATGACCGCTAACCCTGTAAAAGAGCTTACCATGCTTCATTTTGACTTTGGGTAAAGAGTAGCACTGAAAGAGTGTTGATTAAGACACACTCAGTAACAAGTCCCTGCTACAGTTCTCTGCAACAAAGCAACATGCGTGTCCTCATGCATTGCTCTGAAAACAAGTCCTTTTATTCAAAATTGCAGCCATAGCAAAAATTCAAACCAATTTCAATTCAAAATATTTTCATTCCAGCAACAGACATCACACCAAGTGATTTGCTACCCTGAGTGTTCTGACCTTACTATGTGTCATTAAACTACTATACCCTTACATCAGTATCCATGTTCTTCACACTCTTCTTTGTATATTTCCCTTAGTACTGATAAGGAGAATTTGTATAACAATCAACACTTCTTGGGTTGGGAATCATTGGCTATATCATCATGATCTTAATAAATGATTTAGCAGTCTTACTGTTAGAAATTAGATGTTGGTCACTCTTAGGGTTTAAAGAATTAAAGAATGCAATCCTTGTGAACTTGAATAAGGCCTCTAAGCCTAATAACACTACTGAATAGGGCTCTTCAGCCAAGATCAGTCAATCCAGAATTCTTCACACTAACCAAAGTGAAAAATCTCAAAGGCAAATTACAACATCAGCTACCAGTAACCTCTGAACATCAAAAGCATCCACAAGTCTTATTATGTGGATTGCCTAAAAAAAGTATGTCCCATTGAGCACTTTTCAATTCACTTTGCAGCCACTAAAATCAGCTGGATTACAGAAATGAATTTTAACAAATAGAATTCATGTTGCAGTGCACCTGTTTGGTAACAGACTACAGATCACACCAAAACATGGTAAGAACAAAAAGGGGCACACTAGGCATAGGCAAGTGTCATTGATAATCTTCAGCTCTGATCCGTCACTGTACAGACCTACCAAAACATGGAATCTATTTCTTTTATATGAACAAAAAGCAATAGATCATGAGTAGGAACCCATGTAAATGCACACATAGTTCAGCTTATCATATAAATAGGACACATACAACGATTTCAATGAAATTGAACCAAGTTATTAAGGGCTTTCGTGTGACTAGAGTGGTCAGTTGGTGTAAGTAACCCCTGTTACAGACTAGTCTTACAGTGAAAGCCAGCTAGCATCCTGTCTACAGATTGGATAATTTAGTGTAAGAAACCTCTATAACAACAGTCTAGCGATAAAAAAAAAACTATCGACCATTTAGTATACAATATATACAGCAAAGGTAACAACAAATTTTCAAAATAAGAACTTTGGAATCATGATCATAATCCAAGTGGATCGCAGGTAATAGAGCCGAGTCTGTTGTGTTCTCCCAAAGGCAATCCACAATAACAAAATATCTTCAGAAAGAACTCCTCAGAGAATTATCTGCGACTCAAAGGCCAACTGCGACAACGACATGAGAAGGCGTTTCTAAATGTTTATAGTACAGTAAACATTTAGAAACGCCTTCGAAGCTCATTGACATTAATTGAAACGGATAATGACACGAGGGGTCCTCGGTGATATACAGTTCAATAATTCCTAAGCTGAGACAACCTGAAGTAAATTGTGAGGACGGAAAAATCACAGCTTATTTACAAGAACATCAAGGGGCCTCGATTCTCCACAATGATACACGTAGGTTTCTAAAATAAAATTAGGTGTAAACAACTTCAGAACCTACCGGGAAGTTCAGCGCTCGTTCCTTGATCCTGCACATATAACGTAAAAATAAGCCAAGGCAAGAAAAAAAGCTACGAAATTGAGGTATGATTGAAAATGGACAGCTTAAATTTAAAAGGAAAAGAAAAGGAAAGAGTATGAGCAGTCCAACTCACAACGGATCGAGTTGAATGTGTTCATCCCCAGGCCTTTCAGTCTTAATAGCGTGAATGTAACCAGTTACGTGACTCGAAGAAGCAATGACGTCAAAGGAAAATTAAAGTTAATTGTATTCCGCTATCCTGCTGTCACGAAAGACAGTGATGCATTGGACCTAGGATTTCGAGACATCTCAAGTGGATCGATTGACCAAACTCGAATCCGATTTAAAATTAGCGAGTGTGGAGTGCATTACGCTGCCTACCAAACTGATTAACAGCGCGATGGAACGTGGCAAATGCTTTCTTTAAAGTGAAAGCATTCTCCGTAGTCAACATAACTGCGTTGAACCTTTCCATCGATCGGTATACTTCTCTTGTTCAAGATGGTGTTAACCAGAAGCAAGACATCTCGCCGCACTAGATATTCAACACAGCGGCTCAATGCAGCTCCAACTGGAGTTCAGGGGAACCAAACTAGAATAAAAAGGGGACCTAATGTACGAAAATCCAAACCCGCAGCCCAATCAAGTAATCCTACATTAGCAAGTCGTCTTTGTGACCTGATGGACGAACTCCCAATGTTCAAGCGGCCTAAGCAAGTGATAAAATTATCTGGGATTAAAGAGGACTCTCACCCGAAAACAGCTCTCTTTATATTGCTTATACTTGTTGTAATCCTATTGGTTTATTTTGTTTCGATAACTCCTGAGTTGTTTAAAGTCTACGATAATGCAACTAATGTTTGGCTGCGGCTTTTTCCACCTGATTTACCAAGCGTTTATTTTAACGAAGTCTCGTGGCCTCCAAGGCATCGATGGGTTTGGCGTGAGGAGGAACTTTCGAACGTAACGAGACGGATAACGGCAATGTCCAAAGAACATGATGGAAAGCAGGTTCACATGTATTTGATCGGCGGTCCAGGTTCGGGGAAATCGGAACTCGCTAGACAAGTGGGGCTTCGTTTAAATGAATCTCTGAAGCAAGACCGTAGACCGGTTGACATAGTAACAATCCAGGCTGCCACTGTCACTTCGCTCATATCAAGCTTTGCCGACTCAATTTCTGCACTCAGCAAAAGTTCAGCGGAAAAGACGGACGGTATAAAACAATTAAAAGAAGAGCTGGATCATAAAATTGGCGGTTTGTTCGCAAAAGAAGGAGATGATTTGAAAACTGAAATGAAACTTAAGATATATTATGCAAAACTTTGCGAGCTTCTTAAACAACGAAACAGTCGCCCAGTATTGATTTTCGACAACGTGCGAGAGTTGAAGTGGTTGTTCAACTACCTTAACCTTGAGCCGGGAAGTCAGCATTTTACGACTTTTGTAGTTATCGTTACTCTAGAAAAGCGCGTGTCTTTGACAAGACTAAGTGATTACGTAGAAGTGCAGGATTTATACGAGGGTAGACCCTAAATGATTCTATTAAACTTCTGCAACTAATTACAGGATTAGACAAAAACAATGAGCACAATGCTAAGGAACTCGCGATTATTCTCGGAAGGCAACCACTCGCTGTCGCAACCGCAGCGATTTACATAGAAAGCGTACGCCAAGGTCCCCCTAAGTGTTCTACATACTCTTATTCGAACTACATATCTGAGTTCAATCGAGACACTGAATTCCTTGGAATGGAAGAGGAACTGGAATGGCAAGAAAGCGACGCTTCGAAGTACGATGTTGCCATGTACACCGCTGCTCTAAAAGCGGTTAAGCATTCGGCTCAGATTGATCCAGTGATTCGGGAAATCACCTGTATTGGATTTACAGATACGTCGCCGCTTAGTCTATCCTACGTCCTTGACTTCTTGAAAACGAACTCGAGCCATCAATTCACAGAAGCGCAAGTCCGAAACTCCTTAAGGAACGTGCTTTTTAAAGTGGCGGGTCAGGAGAACCACCAAACTCTGCACACTCATCAGGTAATCCCAGAAGTTTTCCGTCGCGTTTGCAAGGTAAGTCGTTATAACCCGAGCTGCCTTAATTCAGCATTTTGCAATCTGACGATCAGTACTAATGCAGATTTCAGTAACAGCCAGCTGCTGATCTCAGATGTCTTTCAGCGACTCGTTTCATCCTTTGAGCGGCAGCTGAATTTCACAACCTCATCTTTGCTAAACGTGGAAAACGCCACGGTAACAGAATCTAACATTGTTTTTGGCTCTGAATATTTAGATATCCTGACCTCGCTATGCATATTTTCCTCGAGGGAAGGCTTGAAGATGGAAGATGTGATGAGAGTCAGTTTTTCAGACACCTTCTTGCGGTTCTTTGCGCACAACTCTGGGTATTGGCCAGGTTTGATCAAGGCCACAACAAACGAATTCAGACTAAATGAAATAGTGACTCTGGCAAACTTGCAGGCAAACAACGGCTCTCGGTTTGACTTACAGACAATTCTCCTTGTTCTAAGCCTGCATAGCGGAGCCTCAAAGTTGCAAAAAGAGCATTTCATGACCGCAATAAACAAGACTTCGACAGGGATTGCGCAACTTATTAAAAAAGTAAATGACGATACAGTTGTCTTAAACAGAACAAAGCCACTTCTTTTGAACATCTTAGGAGCGATGTACCGTGGCTTAGGGTATCCTTACCGATCAAAGGATCTTCATGAGCTTGCATTTGATTTTTATCGCACAAACGTCACTGACAACACTACAGGAGAACACACTACAAGCAGTGATAACGACCAAGAGGTTTTCTTAGGCAAGGCAAGCACTCTACATAAACTCGGAATCATTTATCGTTACCTAGGTAACCTTGCCATTGCTCAGTCTGCGCATGAGTGGTCACTTAGTCTACTAAAGCAGTTATCTGGGGACCACCGAGTGTATATTTCAGGTTCACTTCTTAACCTAGCTGTTGTTTATAGCCGCCTTGGGAAGTACTATGATGCACTGCGGTTGTATAATCGCTCATTGATCATGCTGCAAGAGATATATGGCCCAAGTCATGCTAGCGTGGGGAGGCTTTATACCACCATTGGAACTGTCTATTATCGGCTTGGAGACTTCAATAACGCCACACAACATACAGAACGTGGATTGCAAATACTCGAGGACTTTCACGGAGAGTTACACCCTCATGTGGCCGAGGCACTGAATTTTCTCGGATTCATGTACAGAGATCAAGGACATTTAAGCAAGGCTAAGATTGTTCTGGAACGCTCCACGTCTATTAAGGAGAAGGTATTTGATCCGGAGCACTTCATACTTGGAGAGGCTTTAAACGATCTAGGGGTGGTGTACACTCGTCTGGGTGAAGGACAAAAAGCCAAGATGGTCTTACAAAGAGCACTGCATATCTTTAATCGTACTTGGGGAGAGGGGCATACCTCAGTTGCGACGGCCCTAAACAGTTTAGGAGGCGCCCACAGCACCTCGAGGGAGCTAGAAGAGGCGATTTTTTTGCACAAGACAGCCTTAAACATTCTCCTTCGAATGGACATGAGTGCCAACTTGGAACACTTAATTGCAGAAACAAGACAGCTCCTTGGCAACGCTTACTTGGCGACGGGAGGCCTCGAAGATGCCAAAGACATGTATCAGCTTTCGTACTTGGGATTTAAGAAGATTTACGATTCCCATCATTGGAGAGTTCAAGGTGTTTTGAAGAGCTTAAGCTCTTTAGGGTACGTCTTAAACAAATCCTGCGAGACAAATGCTCTCTGTTTTATAATTAATTTAAACACTTTTTTTGCCATCATCCTAGGTGAAAGGCTCATCACATTTGAACAGCTTATTTTAACGTAGTTTTTTCTTTGGGCTGGTAAAATTTTCGAGTTCTAATATTAGAAGTATAAGAACGTGTGTTAACCTCCCCTTCCACCCTCACGTGAAAGCCACGCCTCCGAATGAGATCTTAAACAGTCATAGCCAAATTAAAGGAAATAGGAAAAAAAAGCTTCGCCTTAGTTTGTAAGCTGATTGAGCCCAGGAGCAAAACTTAATGATGTGGTGTGGACTCCCGGATAAGAATGGTTCTGTTAAAGACTTTTGGAGGTGACAGTAACGTGACAACATGACTAGATGTCGCTGTCACTCAAACAGTCCTTAGTCACGACTACCCCTACCCGGGTGGTCACCCGACTCATTTGCTGTGTATCTACACGGAGATCAGTGGAACTCTTCATATCCTTCGCTGCCGTCGTTTGGCGTAATACGGTATTGCCACAGGAAGTCCAAGCTCGCACAATGAGCCTCTGAAAACATGTAAATATGTCTATGGTTTTTTAATGGGCATGGACACACGCATTCTTCACGCAAAATTCAGAACTAGTTTCAAATAAATCCAAATTTACGTCCCTTTTTTGCTTGTTCTTAGGAGATTTTTTTAGACTGACGTTCGGCAGTTTAGTTCGTTCTTGATTCCCCTCTTTGCCCTCTGGACAGGATTATGCACCTGCATTCGTTTAGGTTAGTCAGGAAATCGATACAGGAACCAGTGGGAAGACCGAAAGGCACAGAAATACTAAAAAATATAAATAAAAAAGGGAATTCATAATTTTCTTCTCTTGACGTAATTGGTACTATTAATAACACCGGTGAGGGCGGATTCCTTCAGGGGAGGGGACGGGTCAGTCGGCGCATGAATCGACCTAATAAGTTTTGAGAAAAGAGTACAGAGTGGACTTGATGAAATAATGAATGGATTTCGGGATGTAATGTCAATCGAGAAGCACTTGAAGAGGTGTGATCGTCCTAATCTTGAGCCTTTTCTTAGGCAGCTGGAAAGGAAGGACTGGACCTGGACTGGACTCTAAACTTGACCTTTGGATGTTGTTTTCAGTTGCTAATATTGATTACGTCACCAATAATTAAATTAATCAGTAGATAAGATATGCTGACTGATTGGACAAGCCTGACAATACTGATGTAAGTTTTGTAAGCTTAACTTGGATGAATGACCCCTTCTTGTAGCATGTACAAAATATATGGGAAAAGGACTCCAAAAATGAAGTAGTGAGACTTTCTTATCCAGTTGAAGGTCATATGAATACTTGCACAAAACTCAACACCTTCCTCTCCCCTCCCCTCCCCTCTTAACACAGCAGACACAGAACCTGATGCCGTATTGCAATTCCATGTATCTTTCCAAACAACATGGAAAGAGTAAATTCTACTGTTGTGATCACAAGAGCAGTTAGGAGGGTTCCATAATTGCTGTGATGTCATCTCTCTGGTGGGTTAGAAGAGGCAAAATCACATAGTTCAAAACCCAGTTGTTCAAGGAGTGGATGAAGCTATCCAACAGATAAATCTCTATCCAGTGGCTAAGTGTTAACAAAACATACCGCACTGTCTAAAGGATAGAGATGTATCCAGTGGATAGCATTGTTGGAACACAAGGTCTTAGTTTGCTCATGAAGACTTGAGGTTAGGATAAGCTGCATACATATAATAAAAGAAACACTATTAAAAAGCAGCCCAGATTTCTTCAGTTCACATTTTTAATTCTTCTCTTCTTCTTCTTGTCACCATACCAATGAAAACTCCCTTGTCACAAAATATTGTCAATAACTATCCCCTTTGCTTTCGATAAGTTATTTACAGTTTAATAATACAGAGCACAAGACGCAAATTGTTAAAGGTAATTTACTTCCCACGACTGAAAAGTAGCTTTCAGCTTGAAAAAAACCTAACTAGGAATGTTTTTCAAGAAAGTTATCTAAATAATAATTTAATTAAATTGCAGCACTGAAATTGATAGCAAACTTTTCCTTTCCAAAAAATAATGTAATTGAATTCTCAAAACATACACGTGCAGAGGTATTTTGAAACCCTGCCTGTGCACCAGTTAAACACTATTCCTCAAAAAAATTTACACACTTGCAAGTATACAAATGATATCTCAAAGCAGTTGAGATTGATCCCTATCTGGAGATCTAGTTCCTCTTCAGTGAAATTAAGTTTGAAATTCTACTTGACATCAAAAAAGGACTGAAATGTGGTTTGGTACTGACAGAGAGAATTTGCTTAACAATCAAAGCTTCTTAGGCTGGCAATCATTTCCTTCATTCTCTTAAACTTAGAGAAATTAGACCCTGGTCACTTTAAAGGTTATGCAAAGAATTTCTGTGAAAAAAACTTAATGAAAAAAAAAAAAGAAATGAAGTTAAAGAAACTAAAGAAACAGAATTATATGACTTTCAAAATAGAGCTTAAATATCATTCTATCACCACATCAAAAAAAGCAACAAAACATTGCAAGATGTGTAAATCTGTAAAACACCAATGTTTACACCTGCTCTACTTCAAAACCTTCTCTGTTTGATCACCTTCAAAATTCAGACTCAAAATCTTAAAAAAAAAAAACCTTTCATTTGATACCAACTAATACTTAATACATGCATACCTAGTTATGACAAGTCTACCTTGAGTCCACAAAATGTGGTCTGTACTGCGTAAACAATATGTTACGTCCATCACTGATTGCACATGTAAAATCTCAGAATTTCAGCTTTTATCAGTTTAGAGGTGGTCTTTTTGGAAATAAATTTTCCTAATTTATACGGCACCAAATCAATGTTATGATCCTAAGAGCAAAATAATTGTCCTTTCAAGGACCAAAATTAAGGAAAGTTTTTTTTTTTACATTGCCTTTGATATTTCCTTTAAGGAAGTGTTTGTGGTTTTATCATGTCCTGTTGACTGTAATTTAAATCATGAAGGTCACAGGAAGTCTTGAAAAAACTTTTGCCACCAATGCTCTTTATTTATATCTCCAATCACATTTGACGCAAGATTGACACTGTTTTGTTCCTCACATAAATAAAACTGAACTCACAATTCAATATTTCCTGGATGAATTGAGCTTGCTAATTAGGTTCTCAGGATATTTTGTTTTCCAAACTAAAAAAAATACAGCGCACTTTTTAAGGATGTAAGAATATACAACTATTGAATAAAGCTGACGAACTACTCCCAATACTGACAAAGAACCCTTATATAGTACGAAATTATACAATTTACTTAATGGCTTGTCTAAACCCCTTAAACTGTATATGTCCTTTTGTATAAATCAAGGACTTGAAAAGGTGCCTATGTAGCACTTTGACCAGTCTAGAGCAAGAATAACATAATGCTTGTTAGGTTCAACAGCTTATCAACCTGGTTGTGTTCACGTACCTTAAGAATTTTTCACTCAAAAACTAGGTGGAAGGGGGAATTGGACTATGTAAACTGAATGGGGGGTAAACTTGATTTAATTGTTACTAAACCAAACACCAACTAGCAATTCTTTTCATTTCCTCTGATCACTTATGCTGAAAAGAGTACTCACAATCATTCCTAAAAACAATTGTTACTGAAGTACATTTTTAAGATTTAGATTTTAGGATTGGGAAGCAGATTCCCCAAATAAGGAACAAAAGAAAATACAGTAATGCAAATAGTGACTTGGATTACATGTGACTGCCAAAGATACATAAATACCTTTTAACTGACCATAGATATCGTAACATTTATTCCCAGATTTCCATTGTCGGCAAATAAGTGAGCAATATTTGTATCAAATACGAGGCAATCGCTGTTTAAGATAGCAGAGGCGATTCCTTCGTGTATACTTCGCGGTGTAGCTTCCCAGGCAAGCCTTCGTCGGTTTCCATTTAATTCAAGACGATAGACGAAATTCTCTGCTTGTTTACGAGTTCCAATTAACTGTACAATAGCGTAAAACTGTTGAAGTCCCTCGATTTTCTCCTGTTTTTCGAGCACTAACATGAAATGATGTCCAAAGCAAGATTGCATCATTACCCAGTCTACGGCGCCAGGAAGGTTTATGTCAGTAGCTAAGAAAACGATGTCTTCTCCCTGAAGGGTTGTGATGGATTTATGAGCGTGCATCAGATGAGGCATGACCGAGTCCAGCGAACCTTGCCATTTACAAGAAGCCCCAGGACAAGGACATGAGTAGGGACGAAACTCGCAAGATTCTTCGTGTTCCGGTTTTTCATTATGTGGTAAGTTTACTTCACAGCCAGCCGAAGCATACTTACAGGGGAACGATACCGTGTTGGCAACCTTTTCCATCGCCAGATTTCGGATACTGCCCAAAGGCCCACGACATGTTGGGCAACAAGTCAATTTGGGTCGGCAGTTCGAGCACACTAAATGGCCGCTGCTACATTGAAGAATTGGAGGAAGAACATAATCAAAACACACAGGACATTCAAAAATACTCGCCAAGTCGGCATTCGTTGGTCCTCCAGGCTGAGATACGTTCATTCTCGATGGTTTCTGAGAAGGCTGCGAGCTTGGCTGTCGATTCATTGTTCCGAGGAACTTCTAAAACAGTAGGTTAATTTCAAGCACACGTCCTCGCCAAGGTCCATTTAAATCACGATAAATTTCAAACATGATAAGTTAATTTTCATTCCTCTGGGTAGCACCAACATAAACTCGTTAATATGATACGAAAGCGAGTTAAACGGAATTGATCAACGAGAGGAAATTACATTCCCTCGTCCTTCCTATATTTTGTTTTCGCGTGAATTCGTAAACTTGGTAGCCTCGCCTCTTCTCCGAACCAATGCCCAAAGTTTCCGAACCGCACCGATCATGCACGAGAAAGCGGGTCCACGATGCAGCACACTCCACGATTACTTTTCGTCTCAAAACGCCTTTTAACGTTTTAGCATCCAGAGGAAACGCAGTGTTCCCACCGATTATCCTTCTTTTCAATAAAAGCTGGATCTAGAAGATGTTAAACTCTATAAATATAACGCACACAATGAAAAATACGATACCTTTTTGTCGACTAAACTCACGCCTGTTTATCATACACAGGCGCTGCGCAGGTACTCCTCACGCAAACTTGTCACGAGAATTTTTTTCGCGGATTTTCTTAATGCCTTTCGCACTTGCCTACTGTAAAATCCCTCTAAAAGCTGGAATTTAGAGAAAAGGAGGAAATCAACTGTCTCAAAGTCAAGCTTGACCGTTGAAAATTATGCTAATATATAGTTGTATCAAGTATCTGAAGTCACGCAGCCTCGAACCCTCAGGTTGGCTTATTTGTAAAGTGGGTTATTCGTTTTGAAAATCTGTGGCCGATCCAACCCGTTTTTTTGTTCGTGCCGTGGACACTCACCACCCACTGGCGAACGGATGGGTTCAGAAATTTCAAAGGAGGAGAAACAAAAGCGAAAAAACTTAGAACATAACCTTAGTAAAATGCAACGTAGCCTTCACGTGACTGCTCACGCTCACTACGTATCTTCGGAATACTACAGAAAGTGGAACGTTAGACTTCAATACATGTCTCTTGTGGTAGGTGCAAGTGGTGCCACAGGAGGCTTAGCATCAACATTTAATTGGAAAACGTTCGTTGGACATAATCCTCGCCTTGCACCACTCGTCGCTGCGTTTTCAGCAACTTCAGCTATCCTATCCGTTACCATACATTTGTTACCGAAGATCCAGAGTATGCCTGCAAATCTATATCAGATGCACTTTAACTCTGGAATAGAATGCCAGTATCTCGAAAAAAAGGTAAAGTTTATGTCGGAGACCGAAGTTTGGGATTCCAAAATACCGTGGGCATCTCTGGCATCAAAGTACGAAACCCTGCTCAGGGACAAGAAAGACGTGGATAGCGTGATACAAACCGATTACTGGGCTTACCGAAAAGCTTTAAAGCTAATCGAGGAAAGAGATAGAGAGAAACGAGACCAAAGTGTAAGAGTAGGAGAAGGAACCATGCAATGAGCCCCAGAAACTTGAGAGAATCGTAAGCTTATCTGTTTATTACCACATGTGTAAAACTCACAACTACTAAAGAAACGAATTGAAAACCAATTTCAGATTTACGCAAGGCACGTTTCGATCGATTTATTTCGATTATCATTTGTAGCAAGAGATTATATTCTCTTTTTTGTAGTTAATTTACATCATAACATCGAAGTTATATTGGCCATGAACTGAAATTGGCAACAAAATATATAATTTTTAAATGCACCACACGGATTAAATTTACAAAGACCGAAAGTACAAAATAGAACACTGATTCGGAAGGAAAAGCATGACGAGCAAAAGAGTTCGGTCGGCATGGATAACGGTAGACTATTCCAATGGATATGGGCAGCATTTTTAAATCAAAGGCTGTATAAAAATATTTTATGATCGCCTGTGACACTCAGTGCGACCTCTGAGTGTGCTACAGACCGTGTTAATCAGCGTGTAGATTTAGTGAATGCAAATTGTGATAAACTTCAAGACTACTTCTTTCTGATTGGAACACTGGAGATAGTACACATGAATCAAAATTGAGAGAAAAACTATTGAAAAATAAGTGCACTACAAATTGTGTTCCAGACCCTCGTCAGAGCTCGTCTGAGAGTATCATGTGATTTCTTGCGTGAAGCAAGCAGTCGATGCCACCAGACCATTCGGAAGTGAGTGGAGGGGGGAGGGGGGAGGGGGGCAACAAAACAAAAATTCATGTAAACAGTCCAAGTAAAACCTGCCATGTGTACACTATGGTCAGTGCTTTTTCAACATTTCTACGGCTATAACTTTTTAATATTAAAAGTTCTCTCGAATTATGCCTTGTAGATATCTATTGCCCAGGTACTGCCAAAGCCTCAGTTAGCTGGCACGTGAATTACACTTTGCAGAGTGCCAAATAAAGTGTTTTTATTTTGGTGCTGATATAATTATCTGTCGGACTTTGAATAATGGTTTCTATTTTCAATCTGTAATGAAGGAATGTATATCTGAGACGCAAAAGAGTAACATAACTTTTTGAAAAAATTGCCTTTAATTGTTACGACCAGAGACACTGCTGTTTTGAACCTTCTTAGCGACCCGTCTGATTACCTGTGATATGAACAAGTTTCATTTCTCTCTTTTTACCTCCCTTATTGGATTATTTAAACACTGATCAGGAGTTACAAAAAAGGCATTCTTGATTTATATAAAATGTTTATATGTTAACATGGGAGCTCATGTTAGTGGACCATGTCTGTATTCGGTTGTAATTTTTTTAGTTGAATTCAAATTGTTAACATCCATAACTATTTATTTTTTTCGTTTAAAAAAAAAGAAAAGAAACAAAACACGGGTATACCACGCATGCAAGAGTTAACTTTTTGGATGGGTAGGTTGGAAGTCTCCGCCATAGAAAAATCGGAAATGTATTGACCCTTTAAGTCCCACTAATGGCCTTGATAGAATTTCTCTCCACACTATCAATATGGTATCAAGCAGATAAATAATGAGAATAAAGAAAAATATCAATTAGGGGATTATTGGTTGATCTAATTCCAAATTTTCCAAACTAACATCACATGAATTGTATAGTAGACAGTAAGGAGAATTACTAATGAAATCTTGGGAGTTAAAGTGTCAATAATTATAATAATAGTAATGATAATAATAATAATTATGTTATTATAAATAATAATGATTATAGAAAATAATAATGATAACAGTAATTTATTATCAAACCGGCAAAACTCTATTTAAATCCAAATCTTTCCTACATAATACATTGCTAAAAAAAGAGATATTTTGTGTTTTTTAATTACCTTTATAGAAAACATGTCAAATTTGTTTTTTCTCCTTAAAACCCTGATCTTAAAAAAAGAGAAAAAATAGAAAATTCTGCAAAAAAAAAAACAACGAGTGACATATTTATAAATAAAGACTAATAAAGGTCTTAGAACAATACAAGAAAATGGAAATTTGTGTATATTATCAGATAGCAATAAGAATAGTAATAATAATGTTGATGATGCAGCTGAGACTATTACAATTATGGACAAAAGGTCAATAGTTTATTGTTAAAATCTTGTTGCATAGAAAGCCAAAAATCCTATGATGAAATTTCATGCTATGATGTCACCATCACAATTTGTTATGAAAATTTTAATGTTTACATGAAAAAAAATGAAACGTTTTCACATATACAATATCAGTTAAAGCTAAGGGGTCATTGCACACTACAATGCATTACCATGCTCACGTGATACGCGTGTGTGTCTGTTGACATACTCGTATGAATAGATTAAAAACACGTATAACCTACACGTATGTGCTTTCGTTATTTCTGTCAAGATAATCCTTTGTTTTATCATTTAAACTTAATCCCCTGTCATTATTGAAGCTGGCGAAGAAATATTTATTTTTCATAACAAGAAAGAGTGAAATGATTTTATAAAACTTGTTCTAAAAATTAATGATGAATTAATGAATTAATTAAAGGCTGTTCATCACATGACGCTGTATTGAAACGAGTATATCTCGTTTGCTATTGTATCACACTACTGTTTTAGACAAGGTATTTATACCACTTAAATTTAAGAAAGAATGAGTAGAACATAAACCACATTTTCTGTAAATTACACGAGCCATCCTGACCTAACTTGCCAACTACTTTCCAGGCATCATCTGTAAAAAACCGCTTCAATTTTTCAAATTTGAAAATTTTTAGCTAAAACCGTGGCTCCCAAAAATATTTCTCACCTTGCCTAAAACATTTTCAGAAGAAATTTTCAAATTTTTCACAACTTTGCCTATTCCTGCTCGTAGGTCCAGCCAAGCCCTTATGGTCATTGGCCCCAACAATGGCCGCTAACAATGGCTTATAAATATAGGCGTTTGGTGTTCACTTGTAAAACTCCCTGAAGAAGTTTACGACAGTTAGACGAAACGCGTCAGAGAATAAAGAAGTTTTACAACTACTGTTCGCACAGCGCTGCTCACTAGTTTAGTTTTAAATTTTTTAAAATTTTTTTTAAAAAAATTGTCTAAAAATTATTAAAAAATTATTGAAAAAAAAATTAATAAACGTTTGAGTCGGAGCTATTCCTGTCAGCGGTGAAATACACGAATGGCTCCAGTCTCTGATCGTCCACTTGAACTGACTAAATGAGTTTAGTCAGCAGATGACTTTTTCATCACCAGAATACCGCTGAACGACCTCGCTGAACAAGAAAGGCTGCCTTCCCCTCGCTACATAAGTAACCATTTCTTGTTTGATACATCGGTGTTTTCACTCGCATTGATATTTAATTGTTCCGCTTTGAGACACGCGGTAAACAATACTCACGAGCAAGGAGTTAAACTGTAACTTATTGACTTTTAATATTTTTATCATCCAATCACAGGTCGGAGCCATTCCTGTATTTAGTCGCTTGTGCGTTACGCATCGGACGCCATTATCGCAGACTGAAATCGTACGCAAATCATTTTCGGATCGGGCTCCCGAGGTCACGTTTAATAGTTCGGAGCTAAAACTCGCCATGTGATTGGCTTAGAATGTCTACATGCTACAGCCGAAATTTCAGGGCGATCGGATGTAATCCGAGCATTTCCGAAAAGGTCAAATTCATCATGCAATTTTGCACGATCGGCCCCAGGGCTTGACCAGGAAGAGTTTTAAAGTCCAAATCCTACTTACCTAATACATTGGTAAAGGAAGAGATATTTTGAGTTGTTTAATCTTATATATAAAGAACATGCTAAGAACATGTTATTTCCTTAAAACACTAATCTTAAGAAATGGAGAAAAGATAAAATTCTGCAATAAAGAAAGCAAAAAACCAATTGTGACCTATTTAAAAATAAAAGAAGTCCGACTCCTAATGTCTCTAAACAATACAAGAAAATAGAAATATATATGTAGATAGTAATAACAATAGTAATAATAATGTTGATGCTGCTGCTGAGATTATCCCAGTTATGGACAAAAGATCTATAGTTTATTGTACAAATTTTTTTTCACAGAACGCCAAAAATCTCATCACAAAATTTCATGCTATGATCTAACCATTACAATTTGTTATGAAATTTGTGTTACATGAGCAAAAATGAAATGTCAAATGTCAAAAAAACAAACACAACACAGATGTACTAAGGATGCAAGGGTTAATTTTTTGGATGGGTAGGTTGGATATCTCCGCTATAGAAAAATCGATTATATCTTTATAGTAATAATAATAGTGATAATAATAATAATAATAATAATAATAATGATGATGATGATGAAGATGATGATGATGATGTTAAATGTCATAATGATAATAGACAATCATAATAATGATTCTAATAATAGAAAATATATTAATAGTAATAATAATAGTGATAATAATAATAATAATCATAATAACGATGTTATTAACAATAATAATTATAATAAAAAATAATAATGATAGTGGTTCTAATAATAGAAAATAGTAATGATAACAGAACCGGCACAACTTTATTAAAATCCAAATCCTAGCTACTTTATACATTGGTAAAGGAAGAGATATTTTGAGTTTTTTAATCTTATATATAAAGAACATACTATCTTTGTTTTATCTCCTTAAAACCTTTATCTTAAAAATGGGGAAAAGACCTATTTACAAATGAAAAAATTCTGACTCCTAATGTCTCTAAACAATACAAGAAAATAGAAATATATATGTAGATAGTAATAAGAATTATAGTAATCAATTGTTTATTATAAAAATCTCTTTTTATAGAACGCCCAAAAATCCTGTAACGGAATTTCATGTTATGATCTACCCATTACAATTTGTTATGAAAATTTGATGTTTACATGAGCAAAAATGAAATGTTTTCACATATACAATATAGGTCAAAGCTAAGGGGTCATTACACACTACAATGCACTATCATGCACATGTGATACGCATGCGCGTCTGTTGGCATACTCGTATGAATATTTACAGCCATTATTTAAAGCCATTATTCACCACTTGGAAGGTTTATTCGGATCCAACATAATGACCAGCTCTCAGTTAGCTTGTTAGCTCAGTTGGTAGAGCGCTGCATCAGTATCGCAGAGGGCATGGTTTCAAATTACGTACGAGACCGAATTTTTTTTCAGGCCTTATTTCAACTAATAGTTCAGTGGTGTTCATAACTGCGAGGATCGCTTTTATATTAGTTTCTTTAACTGCAGTGCACATATAAGATTTTCTTATATTTACAGCCATTATTCGTATGAATATATTCAATACACGTATGACCTACGTGTATGTGCTTTATAATGCTTCATTGCTTTAGCTTTGCTTCGTTTGACATTGTGTTGCAGAACTAAAAAGAAGGTTATTCTTAAATTAAACTATCGTAAGGAAATTGCTGAACCACCAACGGGGAGGGGCGATGATGCTGTGGTGAGGGCGCCCGCCTCCCTCTACTGTGGCCCGGGTTCAGATCCCGGACCTGACGCCACATGTGCACGAACGAGGGTTGAGTTTGTTGTTGGTTCTGGTCCTGACTACGGGGGTTTTTCTCCGACTCCTTTGGTCTTCCTCCCTTCACAAAAACCAACACTCTAAATTCCAATTCGACCTGGATACAGTGGACAAGAAGGGCCACCTAGAAGAATGTCTTCCCATATTATCATCATTATTATTATAAATCATTAGCGTCTGTTATTCTTCTTTCTGAAGTTAAGAAAGAAATAGCTCGTGAAAATTGACGTTGATCACTTGCTAAAACAGAACAGCGGGTGTTTAAAAATAGCACAAACTTAGACGACATGTTTGACCCAGGGTATCGTATTTCGCACCTCACTCGCTTTTGGCAATGCTGCGCTGCTACCGGTGAAGGAATAATTGGCTGATTCAAGTGGTAAAGTGTTCTCTCTTCGAGGACAATAATTTCTTCAAATGATGATTTTGGATACATGAAATGTACGGGCCTGAATTTTTTTCAGGTCCTATTTTCAACTACTCGTTTCAGTAGTGTTCTTAGTTGCGAGGATCTCTTAATTTCGTAATTTCTTCAAAGTTGTCACGATGTGCTTATCGCATCTATTAGATTTTCCTGCAAGGTAAAGTTTTGTTTTCATTGTGAAATGACTGTGAGGTGTTTATTTGTTTCACAGGGCCCAAATTCGCTGATTCAAAGGGTAAAATGCTCAACTATTGCTTTTTATGTCCCTAAATGCTCTACTTCTCCCAGACCACGAAACGCCTGGGAACTAGAACTCACGTCACTAAGAGTCATCTAGCCCGACCCCGGCCGATTAATTTTTAAGCTTCCTGCCACTTCTGAGTACCTCAATCCGTCTGGTAATTTCGTAACTGCAAGCTAATTTCATCGACGGTGATCCCTCCATCTCATTTTGGTGTTTGTGCCTGAGCGCAAAACGTTTCTTCGATTGATTTTTGCTAAGAGTCGACCCGATGGGTGGAAGTTCTTCCAAGACCCCTTTAGCGGATCAGGAACGGGAAAACATAGAGAATGACATCCGTGGAATACAACGTGACATGGAGGTACATTCACGAGCTCACAACTTGAGTGCAGAATACTACGGAAACTGGAAATCTTTTCTTGTTGTCCTATCTCTTATCGTAGGTGGGTTATCGGCAGTATATAAAGGTCTCGGCGTGAAAGTGCCGCTACCAGACGATCCCAAATCAACAATGATTGCCATTGGGATCATCGCCATCGGCGTGGGCGCCTTTGTCATCCGACGATGCCACAGTGCGGCGTCTAATTTACGCGAGAGACACTTCAGAGCCGAGAAAAAATGCCAGAATATTGCAAACAGAGCTAGGTCTGTTTTGAAGGAAGCGCACGAAAACAAAAAATCGACGAGTTACATAAAGGATCGATATGAATCACTGCTTAAGGATTCGGAAGACTCCAGCGAGATAGAAATAGAACCCTGGGCTATTAAAAAAGCTTCGAAGCAATGAATGGAGACAGCGAGTAAATTGATACTTAGCAATAACTCTCAAAAGTCCAGAGACTAAGGATAAATACGAACTGTTGTACTTACCTACTTGTGTGTGGTACGCATGATGTTGTTCAAACCTCAGTTAAAACATTTAAAGTATGTTATGTAAGTTTTTGAAAGAGCTACCAACTGAGTTTTGATGAGAATAAAATACCTGTAAGGTTACTAACGAGTGTCGATAAGTTTCTTTGAAATAAAAAAATAATGGTAGTGGTGCAATATAGTTTTGTGTAATTCAATAAGTGATTGAGGCCTGTCTGCACCGACAATAAAGTTATTTATCAAGAAAACTTTTCTGTCACCAACATCACTTAACTGTCTACGAGTGAGGATGGTTTGTCACGACTTCAAAAATTTTGGCTGAGATGTGCTAATCTTCGAACGCACCACCGACAAAATTTGTTTCGGGTGAGGGGTAAAAACTGGACAAAATCGGCTGAATAACCAAAACCCATGTTGAACTTGTCGATCATTTGCCGTAAAAGCTGCCACCACCTTGATAACTGACCTGATTTCAGTTTACAAGTAAGGTAATATTTATCGTTTGTAGCGAAACCCATGGATTAGAAAAATTCAAAACGATTTAAAATGAATCCTGGCAGCTGAAGTTTTAAGCTATTGGCAAGCTGTGCTGACTGGTCCGAAGAGCAGAGGCGCTGAAAATTGAATATTTTACAATGAAATATAATATCAGTCATGACAAGATTTCTACGAGACAATTTATGTTTTGTCCGCCGGCTCGGCTAGGGCCCTTAGACTTACAAGTGGCGAATGTAATGCCACAAGATGCATATTTTTTTTTCTCAGCTTTGGTTTCCAATCTTTCCATCACCCCCATCACACTTCTCCGTGATTTAGAAATGGTTGCTGAGGTCAAAGGTGAATTTATGTTGTCACATTTCACCCATGAATTTTCTTGTCAATGAGGCTAAATTTGGAATCTTTCCGGAAGAAGTATTGACGTCACGACAAAGCATGCGCAGACGAAGGGAAGGGGGACTGGATGCTCGGTCGTGCTGAGTACCTATCTATACCTATCTGTAGAGTCTTAATGCAGGGAAAAGGCTAGCGGTTAGTGTTCTCTGTCATCTCAATTTTGCCATTTGCACGTTCCAAATACAGGATGGCGCTGTAACTCTGGGGGCGATTAAGTCTGTTCCAGGTTCTCTGTCAGTGTAAGCCTGTCCCTGGCGATCAGCTATTTTCTGTAAATGCGAAAGTAGCGTCCCAATGGTAACGACTGAGCGAAAACATAGGCATGCGTAGCATGCAAAGGTTATTTTTTCGGCCGGGTGGGTTGAGATGGGACACTATGTACCTAATGTTTTCATTTTTGTAACAGAAAAAGAGCATAACTCTCAAACGGACGAAAATATCGCATTACTTCACCTTGAGGGAAAGAAAAAAACCTAATTTATCTGAAATCATACAGGTATTTTGTGGTCTTCTGTCTATGTTGTCTAAATGCTTCTAAGCAAAAATAAAATGCATCAGTGCCACACTTACTGTTGTCTCCTTGGCAGCCGTCGTTTGGTCTAGTCGCACAACGCCATCCATTCCCCGTTGGAGGGTGAGGGCGTTGCGTGACGAGACCAAATAACGGTTGCGAAAGGGACTACGCTTACTACCGTTCCTCTAACAGAGAGAAAATCAAACTTATTCGTCTATGGTTAGTTGCCTCAAAAATATAAATCCACGTAATTTTAGTGTGAAAAGCAAACTGAAACTCTGTTGTGTGCAGAATACTATGGAAACTGAAAGGTTAATCTATTCGTCCTACTTCTTATCGTAGGCGGGTTATCAGCAGGCTACAAAGCTCTCGGCTGGAAAACGCCGCAGGCGGATGATCTTAAGACAACGCTTACTTTCATTGCGGTGATCGCTCTCGGTGACCAAGTTCCACTAGTGACCAAAACAGAATTTCTCCTTACACTATCTCTACAATATCAAGCAGACAATAATGAGAATAAAGAAAAATATCAATCGGAGGATTATTGGTTGATCCAATTCCAAATTCTCCAGTAGCGTCATATGAATTGTACGGCAGACAGTAAGGAAAATTTCTAATGACATCTTGGGAGTTAAAGGATTAATTGGCTGCATTCTGCACTAACCTAGTCTTATAGAACGACATACAGCAAAACAGCAATTCATCGAGAATATTGGATTATGGCCTGTGTGTAACGCCATAACGCCACGTTATTAAAGCAGATACTAGTAACGTCTACAAAAAGAGAAACTGAAAATGTAAACTAGAGAAAGCCTTGCCAGGGGGGCCAGAAAAAACCTAACGTAAAAAACCCTGTGGGAAAAACGGAGAGGAAGTCTGGGGCGGGCCAGGCACGACTTAGTCCCCCGCCAAGACTGCTAATTAAATAATTTATCGTAAGCAAACGAAATCCGAAACTAAAGAGCAATAGATCGAGCAACTTTTAAGCGATCATTAACAGTGTGCTTAATGTATCTTTTCTTTGAAATGGCACACTTCCAGCCGGCGTGCATGTCCAGCAGATTAGCAGAAATACTCCTACACGCAGGATTTGAAGCGGCGCCAGATTTGATACTATGCGTGCCGTAACTAGCGATGTCATCTACAAATGACTCAACGTATTTCCTAAATTCCTCTCTAAGCGTCGTGTATGAAACGCCTTTAGTAGTATAAAAATACTCCTTAGACATAGATTTAACAATTCGTCTAACGAGGGGGGAGGATGACTCAGTAGATGAAGGAAGAAGCTCGGGTAACCTTTCGGCAATAGAAACCGGGAAAGTAGCCTTATGGAGACCTTGCTAAGTGGGATGTATGCCCCTCCCTATACTGATCATTCTTGCGTTTCGGAATGAAAACTGACATGTATTCACTGCAAATAGAGACATCTTTAACAGACAAAGTACGAATTTCGCCCATATGGTAAAACCCAGCGAAGCCAACCAAGACAACAAAAACAAAACGAATAACAGCGAGAGAACTACTAGAAATATAATGATCAGCGATCCTACAAACTGTGTACAAAGGCTCTTTGGGCTGAAAGGGACGTGCAAGTTTCCTTCTAGCGCCCTCTAAGGATGAATTAACAAGGGGGTGACTAGAAGGGCATTCTACTATCCCGGCCAGACTATGAGCCCACTAAATGCCGTAAAGAACTGACTCTATAGAAGATATCCCCGTATTATTGCTAACTGAAATTACAGTAAGCTCGCTAATAAAGAGCGCGAAAAGCAGAGGCTTTGCTGGAATAACTTGAACGCCAATCTTAGGAGCTGCCCATTGACGCCACTTCAGCCAGCCAGATCTGTATTTCTGCACGGTGGAAGGAGCACTGGACTCCAACTGTAAATGCATGGAGAAGGTTTGGAACAAGCCTACGCAAAGATGGATCGACCAGAGAATTTGCGTCACGCCAAATCCCCGATTGCAGAACGTCTACAAGAAATAAAATAAAATAAGAGTAAGCAAAAAAACAAAAGGTAGAATAACATAAAAAAGGAGATACATAATACAAACAGAAAATGAGATGCTACAAAAACCATCGAAACGGCCCAAGAGATACTGCCAAATCAGGCAAAACCCAATAAAATAGCAAACGCGGCGTAAAATCAATTTACGGTCAAAACGACGATGCCAAATCAGGCAAAAGGTCGTTTTGTGCAAAACAAACGGAGGTCAAACTACTGACCAAAATGACACTGCCAAATCGGGCAAAACACAACGAGGCTAGACTAAAAGATCAGCAATGACAAGGTGAGGAGTAGAGCTGAAAGAAAAGAGACGTGCATGGTAAACAAGGATGACAAAAGCTCACCGAAAATCTACCCGCAAGGCTAACATTCTGAATCTCGGGAAACCACTGAAAACCGATGGACGCGCCTTGTAAATTTGCCTCTAGCCAGGACCTTCCCAACAAGAGGTCTTCCATGCAAGGAAGCTCAAACACTCCATTAACGAAAGACTTGAACTTAGAAGAGCTTTCATGCAAAAAGGGCCAAAAATAGGCCGAAGGCCACTGTGGGACGATCAAAGTGCCGTGACCAGAGCACGACGAGAGAGCTCTAACAGAAGGGACGATGGCACTCACGGGAGGGCAGACCCATTTGATCTCGTCTCGCCAATCCTGGGCCAAGGCGTCAACGCCGCTGCAGCCGGGGGAGGCAAATTTAGAATTGAACCTAGGAACCTGGGCGTTGAATGCCTTGCATGCCTTGTATGCCAAGTATGCAAATGTCTTAGTTGAAAAACGTACACTTGTTGTAAAGAGCAGAATCTGAAATCTGACACGAAACTGCGTATACTTTATACAATCTATTGAACAACACTACTACCGTGAGACTGAAGAACAAAACTCTAATGGATACAAAGTGCTCGTGAAGAAAGACACCATGTTGGATTCACTTGATGCGAGGGAACGTAGCTACGATATCAGTACGAATGGTAATAGTTATAATAAAGTTTGGATATAACGCGTGCTGTTATTGGTTAAAAGAGCGTGCTCTTTGAGAGTACTGAGCATGGAGCTGAGCTAAAGCTGTCAAACCATCTGCCAAATTGTACTATGTCGGACCTTTTCCGGGACTTCTCTCTATCTTTTTTTCGTTAATTGAAAGTGAAACTTCGGAATAAGCGAGCCGGCAAGTAGAACAGAAGAACCAAACAAAGGTTTGTAAAAATGCCAGGCGCCGCAATTGACGTCATTGTAACGTGAACAGAGACGAAAATCCTCTAGGAGAAAACGAAATGGACAGTCTGAATTTTAAAGGTTTTCACGTTCGGTTTTCACGCTCGGTTCACGCTCAGTTCAAATCCCGTACGGGCCTGAGTTTTTTTTCAGGCCTTATTTCAACTACTATTTTAGTAGTGTTTATAACCGCGAGGATCGATTCTATATTCGTTTCTTCAACCGCAGTGCACATACATGATTTTCATATATTCACAGCTTTAGTCTTCTACAGCCTGTCAAATTTTTTTGAACCATTCTTACACGGATTCTGATTGGCTTATTGTAGCGTGCTTTATTTAGAGTATAGAGCATGCTAACGGCACTGATGTTCGCTTTGGAAATGAAGTTTATTCTGAAAATTGAAAATAATTCTTGGGGAATTTCACGGATTCTCTATTATAAAATAAATAGAGAAGCCTTGACTATGCTCTGTTCTGATGTAAAGCACTTAGGAAGCGGTTAAAGCACTTAAGACGTGGGGAGAAACACTCGACTAGGTCTTTAGCCGCTTCCTGTGTGCTTTACAACAGAATAGAGCACAGTCAAGGCTTCTCTATTTGTTAAGTAGTGCAAATCTTTTTTTCAGATTTTTATTATGGACCTTCCTTGTTTTCGAAATGATTGTAAATTTTAAAATAGATCTTTAGCGCTCGTAGCATCCCTGTTTTAATTTTGTATTTGGAATTTTCTTTTAGTCTGTGCAATTAGCTAATATATAGCTCAATACTCTGACACTGCAGTAAAGGTCATTCATTCATTCAAGTTTTGTTTTTGGCTTTTTTTTATATATCCCCAAGTACGGCGGTTCGTTGCTTGATTTTTTTTCCTCCCGGAAGCGCGGGCGAGTAAATGTCTGCGGTAAGATGGCGGCGAATTTAAGTGAAGTCGTGTTCGATTTAAGAGGCCAAACAGATTTTTCAGAGAGGGGAAAAACATTTTGGAACGCAAGTGAACTGGAGCTGAAGTTTTCTTTTGAACGGGAGTGGATAAAGGCGGTCAGGCGGGCAAAAAGACGATCAAACTATGGTATGGGAAAGATGAATAGCGGACTGGAAGAGGTTTGCGGCAACAAACTTTAGCTTTGTGGTCCACTGGTGGATGGCTATCTTTTAGAAATTGGAGAGCAGATTGCTTCGAAACTAAGTCGCCCAAAAGCAACATCATTGGTAGGCCCAGTTGTCATCTTCATTCCGTGGCAGATATTTCGTCACATAACAGTTTTGTTCAGGGGCTATAGTGGAGAAGTGAAATTTACTGAAAGAAAATAAAAAATTACTTCTACACTATCTTGTATACAAGCAGTGGAGAAAGTATTTTTGCCGGCAAGATTCGAAGGCCAGGATGTTCTTAGAAAAAGACATTTCAGTCTACAACCGAAATCAAAGGGAAAGCTCAGTCGTCTGTTTACAAATGCAGGTCAGCCGTTGTTGTATCTAAAAATACTTTTTGTTGTTGAATACAACCTCAAAAATCAGAAGGCTATGGTGACATTTTATATTCAACGGTACACGGCAGAGGATTTTGTTTTCGACAAAAGCTTACAAAGTCTCATGAATAAACAAGGTAATATTAATTAATATTATGAGGTTAGTGTTGATCAAAGAAACACGAGTTTGTAGCTTTTTTTTCAAACATATATTAGTTACACGTCTGTGTCAACATGGTCTCATGTTGAAATTTTCTAGAAGACAGTGTATTTCCAGTAGTTCCAATAAACTGATTTAGCTTTCCATCTAGTGTATAAAATATATTATTTTAAATTTTATTACAACTTCAATAATAAAGAATCTTGAATGACATTGCAGTTAAAATTTACCTGGTTAAAAAATAAACTTATGTAAACTTTATAGATGGTAATAAAATATGATTATGGAGCTTTCTGGTGATACATTGACGATGAAAAGTCTTATTCTACAATCTCACTAACTAATGTACCCTCAAGGCATCTTTGTTTCCACTAGTGCTTAATTGCCTATACTTTGCAACTCCATTTTTAGGTCACTTACTTTCATATTTATAGGGTTTAGATGACAGCTATTTGTAACTGGACCAACAGGCTATTTGCTGCATAAGTGAACACTTTTATGAGCCTCCTATGTTACTGTTTCAGGAAATCTCTCATTACATACAGAGCATAGGACTAGTTTTAATGATGACAGGTCTGTCCCTCTGCACACTGGACAGTCACCCTGGCATCTGCACATACCTCACATATACAATCATTAATTTCCTTTTCTCTTCCACAATGGCAAAAGTTGCTTGAATTTAGGTGAAAAGGAATCCAAGACTTAAAATGAGAAGTATAAGACCTTGGCATTGGTTGATGTTCTGGCAAGTAAAATGCTCTTACATAATTAGCTCTCATGACTTGCCATCATTTCCCCTTTTCAGATGTTGTATTGGATTTGTTGTCAAATCCTAGTCATTTTTAACCCCTGAGTGTTTAGCCTCTTTTTCTGTAATGATATAATGCCATAACCCACTTTGCAGCTTTCATACGATTTAGTTGCATGATATGGCATGGCATACCCCACTGTCCACACAGTTACATTAACATCTGATAAAAAAAAATATTGCATATTAATTAAAATAAAGTGTACTAAATTCCGTGAGCTTACCAAGGTAGGAAGGGCTAACTTCAATTTTGTTAAAAAGAGCCCCAGCATTCCTAAGGAGCTGTGCAATTTTTCCTAAGGCTAACCTTCTTGTGCCTCTGAGCCTCATCATTATAGTGATCCTTAATCACAGAAGCTAAATACCCCAACCCACAACCAAGTTCACCAAAATCCTCCTTATGGTAACTTGACAGTGCATTGCCCAGGTCACATAAAAACTTTTGGTTAGAGGCATTAAAATCAACCCTAGTAGATTGTTCTCCAGCATCATCATCATGTGGAACATAAACCTGCAATTTTCTATTCTCATTACCATTTCCTTGATCAGCTCTCCTCTCTACAGCTGAGGCACTTAATATATGAGTAAATTTGGTAAAAATACCTCTTTGTACTGCTGCCCAGTATATGATATTTAACACATATTGCCATGCATTAATTTCACAGTGGATGGGCTGCAGGTGCTGCCACTTTGCAAAAATTCCAATTCAGGGGTTGCCTAACTGGCAAATCCCATTCTCTGCCATGAACTGTAGTTTTCTAGAATGGCAATCTTTTCCACTCATAGAAGATGGCAGGGAAATCATAAACTCATTTACCTTCTTAACATGGGAATTTCTGACCTCCAGAGTATAAGATTTGAAGAAATCTTCCTCCCCCATCCCAATAGAGGCACCCATAGTACACATATTTCCTTTGCTTTCATTAACATAAGGAGATGCATATGGGTAAGTGACAGCTTGACTTAACTCATTGTTAGCCCAGCTCATATCAGCACTGGGCTGAAACTCTATAGTATACTGCTTGTTAGAAACAACAAATACATTACCCTCTAACATTTCCATTTCATCAGTGTGTTGCTTCCAGATACTTTGCAACACCTCATCTCTCTCCCCCAGACTGACACAGTGTAAAATGTACTGGAAATCCCTGCTTCTCACCCTGTCCCCAAAATTCCATGATGTTTAAAGGCTGCCAATTGACATGGTTAGCTGACTTGACTCAGAGGCCCCATCATCAGAAAATTGCATAATAAAATGATTTATGTTGTCATTGAACCAAATTTGCTTACAGGATAAATAGGGAAGTCTAAGCTACAGATCAGTTATCATGAAAACCAACCCAGTTATTATTCTGGAGACACCCGGTGCATTGGGCATTTGATGTCAAGCCTTCTCACAAAATTCTCCACCTGTTTGTCAGAAATAGCTATATTTGGCACCCTTAAGTCCAAACCGAAACATTTTATGTTACGGGGTACATAAAGATCAGAGTTTGGATCAAAAACTGAGGACTGAGTTTTGCAGACAGGGGCATACTTTCTGCAAGACAGAAAGTTCTGGTACATCATAAAGACAGCTTGTTTCAAGGCCTCATCTGAATTTTGATACCCTTTCATTGTCTTGTCAAACAGACCCTGGAGATATTTCCCTCGTTTAAGTCCAGAAATCAGTTTGTCCATGGTTTGATTGTCAGCAGTAGATTAAATATAATCCCAAGCCTCATATATTGACCCTTCTTTTTCCCCATGAATGAATTCTAATACATTTTTTGTCTCCTGTCTTCGTCTGTACTTAGTGCTGGAATTGACATTGTAATCATATCATAAGTTGCACTAGCATTTTTCTCCTAGCTACTGAAAAGCCTTTTGTTCAAGCAGAGATTTAAATTTGAGATAATGCTCATTTAATTTGTGTTACTTTTTCCTCTTGTTGCTTTATTTGATCTTCCTTTTCTTCCACACTCTATTGAAGGCTTTGTAGCTCTACTTCTACTGCATCTTTCTGATCAGCAGAAGTTTGTATTTGTCCCTCTTAAAAAAAAACAAAAGGAACAGAATGTTGTACATACATAACTTATTTCCGTTCGAACTTCAGAGTAGCATGGTGGTAAAAATGAAATTTTTTGCACGTTTCGAAAACACTCAAAGTTATAACATTACCAAATTCATCCAGCCGAGCCTTTTTGGTTTCAATGTCCAGTGATAACCATTTGTTTCACGGTTCTTGTAACTCCTTTTCTTTTCAAAGCTACATGTGAAGATAAACTCTTCCAAAATGCGTGAAAAGTTATACTAGAATCACAGCGTCCTTGGTGAGAATTCGGCTAATTGCATTTTCTGCTTTTTCTGCACAGAGGTCTGCGACTGCAAAGTGAGCAAGAAATTTAAGTTATTCAACATGGCCAGACAAACGCGAATTCGACGTTCAGGATTGTTATGCTTATCCATCGTCCCGTTTATCCCCTGAAAAATTGCTGGCCATACGAAGATTCTTCCTCGAATGGTCTTGTCACTGCCGTAATGACACACAATAATCAGTGATCTGTAGAGAATCCAATATAGCTGCCAGCAAGAACCATCGAGCGCTTGATAAAATCGGGGTTTGAAATGTACAAATTTACGGTTACCACGATTGAAAATACAAACAAATGGAGTCTATATATAATGATAAAGCCTTTTTATTTGTAATAGGTTGGATACAACGAGAATAGAAGATTACCCAGGATGTATTTCCCCATCACAACGCGACAAATTCACATTCATTAACGATTTCACCTCGAAAACACAATCCTAAGGGAGGGAGGGAGGAGAGTCCCGAAACCAAAAAGATGCTTTCTTATGGGAAGAATATACCTACCCCTGAAAGTAAGGATTTTGACCTTTTTAGGTAGCGTTTAAACAAGGAATTTTTCTCAGAAAGGGACTGACTTAAACTCGCTTTTCGTCTCCAAACGGAAGCGTATGCAGGCGTTATTATTAGAAAGCCATAACTGGAAGGTTGGGAAACTGTGTAAGATGCAAATATATTCATATTGTTCATTGTATTGCCGAGCAGCGAATTTCAATATCTCCACTACTACTGAGCCATCGGACGCGAAAACAACAAAGGCCTGTTGGATCACGTGACGAGAGGGACGCAATCGCATAGCAACGAACCACCGATATATATATATATACTTCCCCCAGACCACAACATGAGAGTACGCCTAGTGACTAGAACCCACATCTCTCAAGTCGATCTTACCTCTTTCATTTTTGTTTAACTTCCGGGTTCGTCTGCGTTAAGATTAAAAGGTTTTTTGATTCATTTTTGGATTATCACTGCCAAGTGCCAACCTGATGGGTGGAATTTTTTCAAATGAGGAAGACGAACGGGCTAGAGTAAAGAATAACATCCGTGGATTACAAAATGAAATGGAAGTGCACTCACGTGCCCACAATTTGTGTGCAGAATACTACGGAAACTGGAAGGCTATTCTATTCGTCCTACTTCTTATCGTAGGCGGGTTATCGGCAGGCTACAAAGCTCTCGGCTGGAAAACACCGCAACCAGATAATCCTAAAACAACGCTTGCTTTCATAGGGGTGATCGCCCTCGGTGTTGCCACATTCGTTATTCAACAATGCTACAATGCGGTGGATGATTCACAAAAGAAGCATTACAAAGCAGAGAAAAATTACCAGAGTATTGCAGACAGAGCGAGGTCTGCTTGTGATTCCAGCGAATCGGCGAGTTCTCTAAGGAATAGGTATGAGGGACTGCTGAAGGACAAGGGAAATTCCAGCGAGATAACTTACGAACAGTGGGCTTATGAAAAAGCATCGAAGAAATAAAAGGGAGAATGCGAACAACTACACCGCAATAACTCTTTAACTTTTTATAAAAGCTAAAGGCATTAAGGAAAAATAGGAACTGTAGTGTGTACTCTATATCTTGTCTGTACTATGATGTTTTTCAAACCTCAGTTTGATTGTTAATAGCGGAAGTCTTTAATAGAAATTTCTGAGCGAATTAACAACTGTATTTCGATAGAAACTTGATTCGGTGAATGCAGATAGTATCGTTGAAATGTTTTATCCTTCAATTTCAAGTTGGTGAAGTTTCTACGAAACGTCATCTAATAGAAAATAGCCAAACATTACAAGTCTTTGATATCGATTTATAAGGAAAGAAATGGAAAATATCCCTCAAAGGTAGATAAATAAAGATGTTTAACTAGGAATTCCAAGGAATTCTCAAAAATTCCCAACTATGCAAATAAGCTCTGATTTGAAAAGCTTGGAATTACTGGGAATTTCTTTCAATTTTTTCAGGCCTTACTTTCACTACTGTTTAATCCTTGCGAACCGAATTCCCAGTTTTTTGGGAATTCCTAGGAATTCTCAAAAATTCCCAACTATGCAAATAAGCTCTGATTTGAAAAGCTTGGAATTACTGGGAATTTCTGGGAAAGGAAGACTCCAGTTTTGTAAGGACTTGGAATTCATAGGAATTCCTAGGAATTCTCAGTTATACAAACTACCTATAATTTAAGAAAGGTGGAACTCTTAGGAGTTTCTGGGAATTGAATTTGAGGTAATTTAAATACCCTGAGGTCCAAATTAATTCCAAGAAAATACCTTGTGAAGGTTTTAAGAAAAGGTACGCTATACAAAATTTACCAAGAGATATACATTTGTTTATAACTTAAAGATCATAAAATTTATTATTCAAAATAAGTTTTAGTATATCTCTACATTAATATGGATTTTCTCACGAAGCAGCAGTCAATTATGTTAAATGTAAATTGCCAATTAATCCAATGTACTCATATCACAGATTTGCTTTCTAACCTCAAAGGACTCTTGGAGTCCATGATCACAAAAGTTTTTATTGTGGTGCAAAATGTCTCATATTCACAGATGTGCCAAAATCATACACATTCATCAGCTATTCCTTGGTACACAACTTCCTCATGTGTAACAATAATTACATTGTTGTTTACACTTAAAGAACTTTGTTAGTTATGAACATAAGTTACTTCCCTAATCTACATGACTGGTTGCCTTTGTTAGAAAACCTTGGAACAGTCAAGCTCAGTTGCCTCACACACTGTCAGAGACTTCCTGTTCACATTATTTTCAGTAGAAATTTCATGCCTTAGATAAACAAATTCAACACCTAATTAATCTTTCTTTTTTCATGATTTTTGTTGCTGTTTTTTTATTTTCAGTGTTTTAGCTCAGCTTTTGTGACTGATTGCTGTAATTTGTTTTGCTGTTTTTATTCTTACAAAACATTTTTGTAAGAGTTCAAATACTTGTGGATCATCTGCACACTTCACAAACATTTGGCATGCAAACAAGACAGAGGTAGTCACTGTTCCCTTTGAGAAAAAAAACACCTTTTAAATTACTTCGTCAGTTTACTTTATTTGAAACTCTGGTCTGAAAATATTTTTAAAACAAGACTTGTTAATAGTGAGAAGCACAAACTGAGTTTCCTTTCATAATTTAATTTCTTAAATGTCCCAATCACTGAATCTCTCAAAAATATTACTTCTTTTTATTTTTGGTGCGAAATACAAGTCCTTCTTTGTATACAAATGAAAAGTGCAAGTCATACTTCAATAATAACAGCTCTAAAGTTTACTTGCTGTTCTTCTCTGTCTGTCAGCTATCAACAAAATTGTTTTATACCTCGGACAGTGAATAACCATTTGTGGACCAGAGTTCCAACGCACCTCTGTAATCGCATATAGTTGCTTCTGTCTCTTGAACAAATGTTTCTCCTTTATGGGACGCACTCTCCTCTGTTGGCACCACTGCTTTAAGTTTAGTGGAAACGACAGACTGAGTCATCGAGATGGCGGTATTTGTTGATTTAGGTACAGGTTTTATTGTGGTTCAATGGGAAAACGAGAACGGCGTGAGTGATGTAAATGAAAAGAAAATCGATAGCGCCGTGGAGTTAAAAGAAGGGACACAAGCGACTAAATACAGGAATGGCTCCGACCTTTGATTGAATGATAAAAATGGTAAAAGTTAATAAGTTATATTTTAACTCCTTGCTCGTGAGTATTGTTAACCGCGTGTATCAAAGCGGAACAATGAAATATCAATGAGAGTGAAAACACCGATGTGTCAAACAAGAAATGGTTACTTACCTAGCGAAGGGAAGGCAGCCTTTCTTGTTCATCGAAGTCGTTCAGCGATATTCCGGCGATGCAAAAGTCATCTGCTGACTAGCTCTGCTGACTAAACTCATTTAGCCAGTTCAGGCGGACGACCAGAGACTGGAGCCATTCCTGTATTTCACCGCTGACAGGAATAGCTCCGACTCAAACGTTTAACAATTTTTTTTTTCAATAATGTTTTAATAATTTTTAAACAATTTTTTAAAAAAAAAAATTTTCAAAAAATTTAAGACTAAACTAGTGAGCAGCGCTGTGCGAACGGCAATTGTAAAACTTCTTTATTCTCTGACGCGTTTCGTCTGACTGTCGTAAACTTCTTCAGGGAGTTTTACAAGTTACGACTAGACGCCTACATTTATAAGCTATTGTGAGCGGCTACTGCGGGGGCCAATGACCATATGGGCTTGGCTGGACTTACGAGCAGGAATAGGTAAAGTTGTGAAAATTTTGAAAATTTCTTTTGAAAATTTCTTTTGAAAATTTTTTAGGCAAGGTGAGAAATATTTTTGGGAGCCACGGTTTTAACTAAAAATTTTCAAATTTGAAAAATTGAAGCGGTTTTTTACAGATGATTCCTGGAAAGCAGTTGGTAAATTAAGTTAGGATGGCTCATGTACTTTACAGAAAATGTGGTTTATGTTCTACTCATTCTTTATTAAATTTAAGTTAACAGTAGTGTGATACAATAGTAAACTAGACGGTCAAGCTTTGTTGATTTAGGTACTGAAAGAAGAAGATTTCAATTTGACAATCCAACGTTAAAGATGTAATTAAGCCAAGTAAAAAAAAATTTTTCGTCCCCGCCCAATTTTTTTGAAGTCGCCTCAATTAGTAATTAGTAACCCTAACCCTAACCAAGGAAACATTGTAGCGAATCTATATTTTCCCTTGCTGAACAGTTGTTTAAACTTATGAGTGAATTTTTTTTTTTAAACAAGCGAAGGTGTGACTATTCAAGCGTTGCTTATAAGCCAGTACAAAGCGGTCCAACTAGCGTATGGGGAAAATTTTGACGGCCGCCACTGGACATTGTGTGGATCGCGTGAATCCATTAAATATACTGTACATTCTACCTATGCTTTAACAGATTTTGGATAGCGGACCGCTGGAAAACTTAAAATAATGTTTCTGTAAAAAGATACCTCAATTTAATTTTCTTTACTCACAGTATGTTTCTCGGAGAGCTACAAAACGCGGAAGACCGAAAAGTGAACGAAAGAAGCTGGACGGAGAACTTTTCAAGCGACTGAAGGCCGATTCTTCAGCTGAAGTTGATCGCCATGACTTTCAGCAGATCAAATTCGAAAAATTTAAGAAAGGTCAGTATTCAAAGAAAGCCTTTGTTTGTTCTAATTTCGGGTATAAAGTATTCAAAGCTTCGATAATTTTTGGGTATATTTGGAGGAATTTGGGGTATTTTGGGGTATTTTGTCGATTTTTTTTCGGGTATATTGGTATTCCACTACCCCCCCCTGGCCGACCCTGAGTGATGGTAAAGCAAGCTTAAAACGACAGAAATCGCCAGAAAACACAACGGATACACAGGGTATGAGTAAGTTTTATTGATTTTACGAGAAAAATGTTCATATTTCGAAATATTTATCGTTGTAAATCGACCATACTTCGTTCCCTATACTATTCCTTCTAACGTGTTCAAATTTCCAACAGTTCCTCTCGTAACTTAACACCGAGTCACACAACGCGTGACGCGTTCATGAATTAATCGTTGGCTTTTTCTCGAGACGTGAGCTTGGGCCGCATGTGACAAGACAATTGCGTAAACAATATCTAACATAATAACATTATACACAAAAGAACACAGGGTTTTGGATCACCTATTTATTAAAAAAGAATATCCATACAACTGCAATGAAAACAAACATAAGATTCACCTTTCTGATCGTGAAATTAATACCATTCGTACTGTTATCGTAGCTACGTTCCTTGCCATTAAGTGAATCCAACATGTCGTCTTTCTCCACAAGCAGTTTGCATCCATTATAATTATGTTCTTCAGTCTCACGGTAGTAGTGTTGTTCAATAGACTGCATAGAGTATATGCAGTTTGGTTCCAGATTTCAGATTTTGTTTTTTACAACAAGTGAACGTTTTTCAACTAAGAAATTGGCATACGTAGCATACAAGGCATTCAAGGCTTTTATGGCTTTCAAGTGTTCGCGACTCAATCCGTTCCAAAATTACAGCTCAATAACATCTTTCAGTGTGGATTAGCCGCGATTAATACGACTTGTATATGCGTCTGTAAGTATTTTGCGCGTTTGCGCCATAATGCTCCAGGAAATCGCAATCCAATTACGTTGAAATACAAAATAACTGACCAAAGAGTTTTATAAGCAAAAATCTCGTGATTCGTCATGTGACCCGGCCCTGTACGTGTATGACAACGTCAATCATCATCAAGATAACACGCGTGATCAGTATGTGAAGAGCCCGATGAATGGATTTGTCCTTCATGTGGACAATAACCTAAAAAATCAGTTTTCCACGATACACGGTGATCATCTATGTATCTCTTAAACTTCCTAATGTGGTATCTTTCTTTTATAAAAATGAGGGAAATTTGAATGTTCACACACAAGAGTTTATCCAAATAAGTTACAACCACATAAATCAAATCAAAGCCGGTCTCTGGGAGTGAAAGGGTTAAATACCATTTGCATCATCATCCAAAATTAAATGATTCATTTTGAAACTATTTTTAGACAGACAGTATTTATTGCAATAAATATGATTTAAGATATTGTATTTTATGGAAAAAAATCAGCAGATTTTATTCACAATTTGTGTCAAACCAAATTTAATGATTTATTAGGACTATTTTACATGAATAGCTGTAATTGAGGATCAATTCATCTGAAGTTTTCTAGAAAAGAAAAATACATCAAATTCCATCCTAATATTACTACATGTCGATGTCAATATACAATCAAAAATATTTTACATGTACCGGTAAACCTTAATTAAGCTTGTAAATAAATTTCATTGAATACTTGAATTTTAGCTGGGATTTTTTCATTTTTAGTATTTATTTTATATTAGTAGCTTCAAATTTTTGCTTAAAATTCCCAGTAATTCTCAAACATTCCTTGAAATTCCTGAAAATTCCTAGAAATTCCTAGGAATTTTTTTTAGATTTACAGCTTTTCAGGGAAAGTCATTGGTGCTCTGAGTTGGAATTTCTAGGAATTCCAAGTCCTGTTGGCTATAAACTTGGAATTTCTGGGAATTTCACACCTCTTATTCCTAGGAATTCCAAAATCAATTTCGTAAGGGAAGTATTGCTCATTCTGCAAAGATTGCTTTCATATTAATTTCTCTCTGGCTTGTTGGACACCAAACATACTTTCACAATCATTTTTAGTAAACCAGACAATATATGTGTTGAAACGGGTACATTTATTTTGAAAGAAACTTTGGTGCTGCATCTGTGGGAGTACTACAAGATAATTTGGTTTTATCAAGTGAGTTGATAATGTAAATTGGCCATGGTAGAGGGTTAATCTAAAGCTAACATTTTGATCATTAGCCTTTCATCAAAGTGAAACACTCAACATTTGGGGTAAAACTTGAAATGTCAGCATTACGAACTCTTTACAGTGGCCAGTTTACATTATCAATTCAGTTGATAAAAACCTAATTATCATATGTGTGCAAGACATGTCAAATATGCTGTCCCCCTTAGTATCAAGGACCTTTTTCAGTTTACTTGTAATGTTTAACTCGTTCGCGTCAGAAGCTTTTATAGTCATTGGTAATGTTTACATTGCTTTATTCGCCATACGATCCTTATAAACTTTGTTGGAAGAAAACAAAATTGTTTTTTTACCAAAGATATTTTACTTTTCTATATGTTTAACTTCTAATAAGTTGTACTGGACTAAAGACCAACTTGCCGACGTCTGTACTCGATTTTATACGTCGGCGAGTTGGCGTTGGCCAGTTGAACCGTCGGCGACTTGACCGTAATTCTAAATGAGCACTTTCCATGACTATTATAATACCAAACGTTTACCAATGACAATTAATACTTTATATACATTCTGGTCTCTTACACACTCTAAATGTGTGAAGTATACCAATTAACCTAATGGCAAACTTGTTGGGTTCTGGATCCAAGGATCTGGCCGCTGTTGTTTAGGGCTTGCGGCCTTTTCAGACAGTAACCAGTGAGATTTACTGCCTGTTTAACACTGATTACCATCAAAATGAGATTCCTCTATCGGTGCGGAATTAAGGTTACTGTGAACAAAATAGGGTGCCTTCCCGAAAAATCATAGGGCAGAGGCTCCCCTAAATTTTTTTTGTATCAATATTTGAATATTTTGTAAAATGTATGTGGCAAATTAATCTTAACTGCTTTCTTTAAGTGAAAAGCAAAAAGAAGGGAATTTCAAAAAAAAATTTGACCAGATTTTGATGACAGTTAACCTTTATCCACTAGATAAAGCCTGTTTTGAGACTAGACCAGGGTTTTTTTTATGCTCTTGAGAATTTTCACCAAAATTCCTCTATGTTCCAGTAAAGCCAAAATTATGCTGGAAGGTAAATTGCAGTGGACAAGACAACCACAATAAGTTTGCAGATTTTTACCTCATGGATTTATTATCATCCAATGGATCGTGTTCTCCTAGACAGACCGCATTAAGATTCTATGATATTTTAAACGGATATGTGGTTTTACATTGAGTACCCATCCATGCACATTCGTAGTGGACAACATATACTGCCAGCTTTGTGTTCATTGGCTGCATAATTAAATAGACTTTGATTTAGGTACCTACAACAAAATCTCATTATAAAGATAGAGAATTTGGAACATCTACAACAGCTGGATTCACTTGATGTCAGCAATAACACCATTCTAGGGTTGAAAACATCGATGAGTTTGCACAAACTTCGACGACATGTTTGACTCAAGGTATCGTATCTCTTACCTTGCTCGCTTTTGGCAATGCTGCGGTTCTACCGGTACAGGAACAATTCGCTGATTCAAACGGTAAAGTTTTCTCTATTGGGCGCCAAACTAGTCAATATTCCCTCTGTATTTCTGTGACCCAGTTTACTTTTGACGTGGTCAGTTCGACTTTTTATACGGTCAACTTTTACTTTTTATATTGCCAGCTCGAGCTTTTTTGTGGTCAACTTTTTACTTTTAGTAAGATCAATTTTCACTTTTTAAATAGTCAACTTTTTACTTTTTAAATGGTCAATTCGACTTTTAATATGATCAATTCGACTTTTTATATGGTCAACGTTTTATTTTTTATATCAGTCAGTCAGGAAGACTGCAGATTTCAGACTGCAGACCGGGGGTTAAGTGCAGACCGAGGGTAAAATGCAGACTGAAGACTGTAGACCAGGGGTAAAATGTAGACTCGGTTCAAAAACAACCCGCTTACCCGGATAAACTTCAAGAATGAGCTGGGATCGAGGCCGCGTAAGTTGTGAGAGGCTGGCAATAATCGTCATGGCAACTGATGTTTCGAACATCATGTGATGCCTCAGATGGTTTTGGCGTTGACATATTTTTATAAGGTAAGAACAATTAGTACGTACGTAAGTGTTTGAATATGCAGTTCACAGCTAAATACATTTCCCTCATTCATATAAGGAATAAACAGTTCTGCTGAGCAACATTAGGTAGCTTTAACATACATGTAGCTCATGTATACTTTGCTCGGCCTTAAAAGTAGTAGCGATAGCAGGGTCGTAACGAGGTATATGGGATCAGGGATCAAAGGCCCAAATAGGGGTGGGTTCAGGGATCTCGGATCGCAAATCATGGGATCGGGATCAACAGCGTTTTTCATGAAATCAAGGATTATACTGAAAACCACAAACGCGCTTTTTACGGTTTCCTACAGGTTTTTTTTAAGGCTTTATCGCTATTTAATATACAAACTATTTGGTGTCATAACCGCACAGTACTGCTAGTCACTCAATTATTTTCGGGATGTACACGCGCATTTGCCCGTGTCTAGACCAGACTCACATTATATTGTTTGTATTTAATTTAGCTCCTCATCATCCTCCAGTTCTTCCCCTAAGAGATGGTAATTAGTAGTCTTATTCAGGTTTTTATCCTGTTCAAAAACTATGACGCAGCAGCCCTGTCGCGTACTTTTTAATGTAGTCAAAGCTTTATCAAACCTCGCCCATTATATGATATGTAGTTTAAAGTGATAATTCGAAAATACCATAAACTCATGCAAAATACGCAAAAATGTACTCGCCATGACTAGAATACTTAGTTTCGATTGAAGTAACTTCCAAAACATATAGCTACCTTCCATACAACTGCATAAACAGTCTCTGCAGTTTCCGGGTAAATGATTTTGTAACGGCTAATCTAGAATCTCCTGCAATTTATTTGTGTGGTTTATACTAAAACCGGCGATTATTTCTCACAGAATATACCACCACAATTTGCCTCTACTTAGGTGGCTAATTTTGAAATATGGTTCAAATGTTTTCAACCATGGATGGTCATACTACACATTTACATAAATTTGCACAGACATGCTACGTTTTTCTTCCTCCTTAACGAGAAAAACATGACAAAAACAAACAATGACAGCATTAGTGAGAATAGAGAAAACGCTTTGTATCCGTTTCAAAAAGTTCATACAGTTGGCAATATCACGCCAGGTTCTCTCGATTTTTTGTGCAGTGAAAATTATATTTCAAATCAGACAAGTTCATGAATATATATGTCAACTACGTGTCCTGTTCAAGCGCTGATTGCGAAATGTTAAATTCTGGAATGGATAAAGTCGAACAGAAGGAGTAGGAGATCGAGTTCATTTGGGCACTTAATGCTTCGGATAATTATTAAAAAGAAGTATGCAGAACGGTATTTTGTGTTTTAAAGCTTTTCTTTGTTATGAAAGTAATTGTAAATAGTTCCATCTTAACGCAAATGTTGTTAATATTGGTTTCGTTTTTATGTCATGCAACGAAATCGACAACGAGGAAAAATTATGAAAACGGAATCTCGTGGGATGGACAATTTTTTTCGGAATCAGGGATCAAAATTTCCATCGCTTTTGGGATCAGAGATCAAAATTTTGACTTAAATAACGGGATCATTCACGAAAAACTATACCTCGTTACGACCCTGTGATAGACTTTGCTCGCACATCGGCAATTTCGGTTACTTGGACAATAACAATGCAACCTGCTTCTCGTACCTTTGTTTTACGCTGCGAAGGTAGGCGTGATCTTGGAATGATGCTTTGTATCATTAGCTTCAAGACGTTCAACACTTCGCTCTTGTGCTTCAAGATCAGGTCGATATCGCGGTCATAAACAGTTGATTCTTTTAGAACCGAGTCTGCGTTTTACCCCTGATCTGCAGTCTTCAGTCTGCATTTTACCCTCAGTCTGCACTTTACCTCCGGTCTGCAGTCTAAAGTCTACAGTCTGCGTTTTACACTGACCGATATAAAAAGTCGATCTGACCATATAAAAAGTCGACTTGACCATATAAAATTTCGAATTGACCGTATAAAAAGCAAACTGGGTTACAGAAATACAAAACGAATACTGAGTGGTTTGGCGCCTCATAGTTCTCTCTTCGATGACAATATTTTTCTTCAAAGTTTTCATGATGCGCTTATCACACCTAATGGGGGTATTAGATTTTTGTTTTCATTGTGAAATGACTGTGAGGTGTTTATTTGTTTTACAGAGCCCAAATCTGCTGATTCAAACGGTAAAATGCTCACGTTTCAAGAGAGAGAGAATGGATGCCCATTCATATGATAAATTTCTGCCTACAGGAAAACGCACAGCTGCGAGACCAACCTAATTCGTGTAACTGAGGACTGGAGAAAGCAATGGATAACAAGGAATGCCAACGGACTTGAGTAAGGCACTTGACTCGTTACATCATAGGCGGCTAGTGACTAAGAAACTTGAAATCTACGAATTCTCTAATATGTCCCTAGAACTAATGCATTCCTATTTCATGGAGCGAAAAAACTGCGTTAGAGTTAACAATATGACAAGCACATGGAAAGATCAATTCAGGGGTTGCCTGCAAGGTGCACCACTCGGGCCCTACTATGGAACTTGTTTTAAAATGGCCTATCTCTGAACGTACACATCAGTAACTTGCTCATTTACGCCGATGATCATCAGGTTTATCAAAGTGGATCTAATACCAAGGCAATTCTTAGAATTCTTGGAGTGAACATAGATATCAGCTCAGTTTCACTGAACACACATCTGTAAAAAAGCGAGTAGGAAAATAGGGGTGCTAGCAGGGTACTCCTTATCAGACGGTACCCAGTAAAATTTACCGCTTGTAAGAGCACTTATTACCCCCTACAAACGCTCAGAACCCTTAAAAAATACACAATTATGATGAGCTAACCCGGTAAGATAGTGTAATAACAAGCCAACAGTGTGCACTATCATAGATCATAGATCATAGATCTGTGCTTTTGTTAGCTACCACTTACAGGTACCTTTCGAATTTCGAAGCATGGGTGATTTTTCGCGGGCTTTCTGCTAAATCTCATGACATTTGTCAGTTCTCTGCACGTGCAAATGTGGTGTCGTTTAGTTGTTCAGTTTCTACGATGAAACGGCAGCAAACAATGCTGTTGTTCCTGTCCAGGAACAAGAGGTCACGAAGAGTAGCTGGTAAGCTTTACAAGAATTTTAAGGGTAAACAAAACTAGCGATGGAAAAGCAGTCAATTGCCAGAAATAACCGCCTTGACAGCTCTACAATTGCCGGCTGTATAACGAACACGTGGGAACAAAGCTAGTCTTCATCGTGAAATTCTACTTGAAATGTGTTTTTTAGACCACGATTTGAAAGAAGCCTTGAAAATAAAATCTCTCGACAGCGTAAAAGTTCTGAATTTGAGACGATTAGAACACGAATTCAGCTATTCGATGTGATTTGATTTCATAGCGATGCGATTCGTAGCTGACACCGCTGATTTTCCAGCGATATGCCATGTAAGTGACGCCAAAGATATCACCCGAAATTGAAGGGAGACCAGTTCACGTTATAAGCGGTTCGGAAAGGGCATAGTCAAATATAATGCTTTTAAACAAAATTTTATTTTGTTTTTTTCAACCTCTGAACCTAAAAGTGTATCGTTCACATTATGAATTTTTCGATGGAGAATTTTTGATAGGCGCGATGTACTGTATGCTTTAGGAAATGACAAAGTTGAGAATGACCAGCACTCTGAAGCTGCAGATGTGTTTCACTTGTTTGAAAAGGTCCCTTACCTGTTGTGCTGAAAACTAGGGAGAACCTAGTGCTAATAAGACTACGTAATCTAGTCACATGCAAGACCTGTAGTGCGACCTTCAAGAATGTTCTAGAAGTAGCTGAATCAATATATAAATAGAATCTGTTGTAATGTTACGGAACGTTCTAGATCCTCAACCGTACCTATAAAAGCCGAGCTTGTAAGTAGATGTAGAGAGTAGTTTAGTTGCTGGTATAGCCTGTCAGATATCAATAAAGGTGTATGCTGCAGAATACAAGACGTCCACACTTCAAGACCAAGCTTCAACTGTACCTAACTGCAATTCTTCCTCACCTGACGTGTTGCCAAACTGTATGGCATTTTTGTAAGCAGTCTGAGAGACGAAAGCTGGAGAGACTGCAAGAATGTGCCTTCTGAGCAATTTACATTTGTAGGACGGAAAAAATTGTGAATATTTTCTATTTGGTGTAAACTTTCCTTCTCTATACAATAGGAGGCTTCGAGAGATTGTAATTTTAATGTACAAAGTTAGAAATAGTTTGGCCCCCGACTACATAGGTGAACTTTTCAATTTCGCAAACAAAGGGTACTCCCTAATAAATGCAGATTTTGATATTGAAAACACTCTATTAGCTACCTGGGCCCATAACTTTGGTCCAGTTATTCTCAAGTGATCGACAGCGACCCTCGCTGGACAATTTTAGTTGGAACATCAGAAAGAAAGACTTGACTTATTTTATTGAGGACAAGTGGACCAATTGTAACTTAAGTATGAACTAACCATATTTCCAGTGGAATTTTGTCACTTTGTAATTCTATAAATTTGTGAATATTTCAAATACCAGTTTTTCTTGGAACTAAGTGATATTAAATTAATAAATAGTGCAGATCTTTTTTTCAGATTTTTATTATGGACGTTCCTCGTTTTCAAAATGACTGTAAATTTTAAAATGAATTTTTAGCACCCGTGGCATCCCTGTTTTAATTTTGTATTTGGAATGTTCTTTTAGTGTCCACAATTAGCTAATATATAGCTAAATACTCTAACACTTAAATAAACTTCATTCATCCAAGTTTTGTTTTTTTATATATATCCCTACATGCTCTACTTCTCCATGAAAGTACGCCTGGGAACTAGAACCCAGGTCTCTTAGAGTGACCCTACCTCTTTCATTTTTGTTTAGCTTCCGGGTTCGTCTGTATTAAAGTTAAAAGGTTTCTTCGACTCGTTTTTGGATTATCGCTGCCGAGTGCCAACGAGATGGGTGGAATTTTTTCCAAAGAAAAAGTAGAGAATTACATCCGTAGATTGCAAGATAAAATGGAAGTGCTCTCACTTGCAGAATATTATGGAACCTTGAAGTGTCTCCTATTTGTCCTACTCATCGTAGGCATATGGATAGGCTACGAATTTTTCCGGAGAGAAAAAGTAAAGAATGAGATCCGTGAATTGAAAAATGAAATGGAAGTGCGCTCACTTGCCCACAGGTTTTGTGCAGAATATTATGGAACCTTGAAGCTTCTCCTATATGTCCTACTTCTCATCGTAGGCGGCATATCGACAGGCTACGAGGCTCTCCGCAAAAAGAAAGTACCGTATATTATGTTCGGCCTCGCCTTTGCCACATTTTGTTTTCAAAAGTGCTACGATGCGGTGGATGATTCACACGAGAAGCATTACAAAGCAGAGAAAAATTGCCAGAGTATTGCAGACAGAGCGAGGTCTGCTTGTGATTCCGGCGAATCGGCGAGTTCTCTACGGAATAAGTATGATGGACTGCTGAAGGACAAGGGAACCTCCAGTGAGATAAGATACGAACAGTGGGCTTATGAAAGAGCATCTAAAGAAAAAAATTAAGGATGGAGATTAAGGACGAATAGGAACTGTAGTGTGTACTCTATATCTTCCCTGTACTGTGATGTTTTTCAAACCTTAATTTGATTATTAATAGCGGAAGTCTTTGATAGAAATTTCTAAGCGAATTAACGATTGTATTTCGATAGAAACTTGATTCGGCGAATGCAGAAAAGATATCGTACAAATGTTTTACTCTTCAGGTTCAAGTTGGTGAGCTTTCTGCGAAACATTAATAAATAGAAAATTGTCAAACAATACAACGCTGATGTTAATTTTTAGCTAAAGAAATGGAAAATATCACTCAGCCAGTTAGACTTAGGAGTGTCGAATAGTTCCTTTGAGATTAAGTGATTAATTGTGATACTTTTTTAAAGGACGATTTAGTATATAAATAAAGATATTTAGCTTCAAAAGGTAAGGTGCGAATGTAGTGTGACCAGTGGTGAGTGGTTTCGATTTGGTTTGCGTTCGTTCCCATAACAAGTGTTGGCAGGAAACTGAGTCTTTGTTTTGACTAGCGACCAAATACAGGAATGGCTGCGACCTGTGATTGGATGATAAAAATAGGTTATATCGTAACTCCTTGCTCGTGAGTATTGTTAACCGCGTGTCTCGAAGCGGAACAATGAAATAGCAGGTAATTTAGACGATAGGTGCCATTAGGTTTGATAGAAAAGAAGCTTTGCGGCAACTTTCTGACACCTCCTTTTATGCTAAAGTCGACAAAGATCTCACTTTAATTAACCAAAACATTGTCAAAAATACGATTGACGATCTTATAGCTAAACAAGAATTGCCGGCCACTGCTAAAAATCTCATCATTACTACTCCTAGAACTTCGTGTGTTTACTTTTTACCTAAAATCCACAAACCTAACAACCCAGGTCGACCCATCGTTTCTGCCTGCAGTTGTCCCACTGAACTTATTTCCAGCTATTTAGACAATCGTCAAAACTCTACCGTCTTACATTAAGGACAGCCAACACGCACTTGAAATTTTTCGTGACTTTAGTTTCCTCGACCAAAACAAACTTATTTTCACCATGGATATAACATCTCTTTACACTGTCATTCCCAATGACGAAGGTCTCCGGGCCCTCAAACATTTTTTTCGATCAACACACTGTTAAGGAACCTAGCTCTGCAACACTACTCCGTCTGGCCGAACTAGTACTCACACTCAATTGCTTTTCATTCGGTGGTAACTACTACAAACAAACTAATGGCGTGGCCATGGGTACTAAAATGGGACCCAGCTACGCCAATCTTTTTGTAGGTTTTATCGAACATCAATTTTTTAGCCAATACCACGGCCCAAAACCTCAACTCTACGGCCGCTACATTGACGATTGCATCGGCGCTACCTCCTCTACCAAAGAGGAGCTCACTCAATTTATAACCGCCGTCAATTCCTTCCATCCGGCTCTTAAATATACCTGGGAAATTTCCGACACTTCTTTGGCTTTTCTAGACATCAAAATTTCAATTGAAGGCAACGGCTTATGTACTAGTGTTTACTACAAACCTACAGATTCACATGGTTACTTGTTGTATTCATCCTCATATCCATCACACGTCAAGAACTCCATACCTTTTTCACAGTTTCTCAGACTTCGTCGTTTATGTAGTGACGACTCTGATTTTTCCGAAAAATCAGAGGCAATGTGCCAGTTTTTCGATAAACGCGGCTATCCTGTTTCTGTCGTTCAAGCGGGCTACCACCGTGCCCAACAAATCGATCGACAGGCAGCACTACAAACGGCCGAGAAGGAGAACACTGACCGCATTCCATTTACTCTTACATTTCACCCTCACAACCACGCAGTTAAATCTATCATTCTTAAAAATTTTAAATTACTCCAAAACGATTCAGAGACTGGCACTATCTTTTCGCAACCCCCACTTATTTCATTCAAACGTGACAAAAACATAGGCAACTTTTTAGTCAGGAGTTCATTTCAAACCAATGACCAATCTGGAACTTTTAAATGCGCTCGCTCACGATGCAAAACTTGTCCTTTCATTCATAACGTAGAGAAAATATCGGGACCCAAAAGATCCATTAAGATCATTGATCACTTTACGTGTACCTCCGCCAATGTTATTTACTGCATAACTTGCACTTATTGCAATAAGTTATACATCGGCGAAACAGGAAGACGACTGGGTGACCGATTCCGAGAACACCTTCGCGATGTGGAAAGAAATGACAAGGACGCATCCAAACCAGTCGCTAGACACTTTAATCTTCCTTATCATTCTAAACAGCATATGGCAGTTTGCGGCCTTTCCTTACATCTAGGCAGTTCGGAAAGCCGTAAAACACTAGAACAAAAATTTATATTCCAAATCGGCACCCTTAATCCCCACGGAATCAACGAGCGCTTTTCATTCAACTAATTTATTCCTGTTTTCAAGTCACCATATTCCCACCAATGGCGTAGCTCCACTTTCTACATATAAATCCACGCACAACCCACAATTCCTCTAATCGCTCTGACGAAGGGCTAACGTTCGAAACGTCAGCTTTTTTACCCTTTACGGTGGCTAATTTACGTTTTCAACCCAGTTGTTAACACCAAATTACCCATTATATAATAAGCTCAGTTATGCACGCGTTTTGATTGGTTCTCACTTATGATCTATTGGAGGACAGACGTATAGATGACGTCAGCATTAAAACTTTTTTTAATTCTTTATTATATAAAACAAATAGATTCCAAGTTGTCGTGCGTCTGTTCAGTAATAGATCACAGAGGACGTCAAAATGTGGTAGGAACAAAAAAGTGGCACACGAGGCGCAGCAATTGACAATAGCCAAACATTTCAACGCTTTGATATTAATTTTTAAGTATAGAAATGAAAAATATCACTCAACTAGGTAGACTGAAAAGTGTCAAATAGTTCCTTTGAGATATGAGTGATTAATTGTAATTTTTTTATGAATGATTCAGTAGATGATTAAAGAGATCTCCAAAACGCAAGTGCGAATGTTGTGTGACTAATTGTGTGACCGGTTCTTCGATTTTGGTTTGCGTTCCCGTATGTAAATCGTCCCCCATGACAAGTGTTGCTAGGAAACTGAGCCTCTGTTATGACAAGGCGCCATATTGGAAAATTGCTCTGTTCAAGCTCGTTATTTTGTAACAATATTTATCCTTTTTGAACCATGCCAACTGCTGTTTTAAAAGACGAAAACGTTCACAAAGAAGAGGATAATTATCCAAGGTAATGACAGGAAAGAGATCACACTTATTGGGCGATTTGGGCATAAGAACTGTAGGTTTGACGAATTCTCATTTTTACGAAACAGGATTACGAAGAAAGTGCTAATTCAACTTTGCAAAGATCACAAATTGTACAGAACACCATATCTTAATGATGTTCTTTACCTTCATTATAAAGGTACGTAACTCGAGATAAAAGTATGTCATATATGCTTCTTTTTAGTTAACTTAGGTCATCTAGACAAGTGTTACATGAAAGTTCATGTGTAATTTTTAATCGTTGTCATTTTTTATTATCAACTTGAAAACCAATGTCGTTTCATCAAGCGAAGGCTCGGTGCCCGTAATATTTTTTCTGTTTTTCCTTGTGGCTAAATGTCCGACAGCTGTGCACAGTCTCAAATAGACTAAGTGTCCGGCAGACATAAATTTTCAAACAATCTCGTGAAAGGTTCTCCTAAACTTCTGAAGCTAAGAGTATCAGATGTTTAAGTAGAAATGCTAAGCGACTCCTTAAAATAATTTTTGTTTTTAGTGAACGAACTTTTCGAGTTTGAGTATGCTGCAAAAGCGCTGGGCGTCGACGCTTAAGAAAGTATTTGTGGACAGACTGACTTGCATGGTCTCAAGTGCCCAATTCAGTCAGAAATATTCACTGATCATGAATTCTCTCTATCACAAACTTCGTGCAAACGAAATGAGATTGTTTGATGCTTGTAAGAAATACCAAGCTGTTCTTGAAATCACAATGGTTTTTTATTGGAAAAATTTTCCAAGCTTGTGCCTATCATAAAATTGCTTGATTGTTATGTTATGTTTATATGTGCCAAAAATCTAGTACTTTTAAATTATTATTACCTTTAAGTTCCCTTAGTGTGATATTAGCTGAATTACTATCACAGGGTTTGCAAAGATAGAAAACCTTGAGGAGTACACAGGCTTAAAATGCTTATGGTTGGAATGCAATGGAATCCATAAGATTGAAAATCTGGACAATCAGAAAGAGTTGCGATGCTTGTAAGTACTATTGGATCTTTTTCAGTCAACATCTTTAAGGTGACAGTACATACTACCCAATGCAAGAGCTGTCGAGGTTTTCTTGCCATGGTATTTTTGTAGAAACTCTCTCTCAGGCTAATCATCACTTCACAGGTTTATTATGAACCAGTGTAATGACCAGCTCTTAGTTGACTTGTTAGCTTAGTTGATAGAGCTCTGCCTTAGTATCACAGAGGTCATGGGTTCAAATCCCATGGAGGTCTTCAATTTTTTAAGGCCTTATTTTCACTACTGCTTAAGTATTGTTCATTACTGCAAAGATTGCTTTCATATTAATTTCTCTCTGGCTTGTTGGACACCAAACATACACTCGCAATCATTTTCAGTAAACCATGCAGGCAATGTATTTGTGCAAAGGAGTACGTTAATTTTTAAGGAATCTGTGGACTGCTGCATCAGTGGGGGTATTTCAGGATAATTTGGTTTCATTGTGTGAGTCGATAATGTAAATTGGCCGTGGTAGAGAGTTAATCTAAATTAACTTTCTGATCATTAGCCTTTCGTCAAAGTGAAATACTCAACATTTGGGGTAAAACTTGAAATGTCAGCATTACAAACTCTGTACAGTGGCCAGTTCACATTATCAGTTCAGTTGATAAAACCTAATTATTACATATATGCAAAACATGTCAAATATGCTGTCTCCTCTGCATCAAAGACCCTTTTTAGCTTACTTGTAATATTTCAACACCACTGATAACCCTATATCACTTGCGGGGTTTTAGGAAAACATCAGTTAGGATCAAGAAAAGTCATAGGGTACAGGCTTTCCTAAAACACTTTTTCACCTGTATCACAGTTACAGGCTTTTAGGAAGCATCAGTTAGGAAGTAACATACCACTAAGTGAACACTTTTCATGACTATAATAATACCAAACATTTACCAATGATAATTAATACTTATACATTCTGGTCTCTTATGTATTTTATATGTTTGAAGTATACCAATTAACCTAATGGCAAACTTGTGGGGTTCAGAATCCAAGGATCTGGCCACTATTGTTCAGGGGAAGCAGTGTTCTCCTTTTCAGGCTGTAACCAGTGAAATTTACTGCCTGTTTAACTCTGATTACCATTCAAAATTAGATTTCTGTACCAGTTTGACTGATGAGGAATCAAGGTTACTGTCAACAGAGTAGGGGTGCCTTCACAAAAAATCATGGGGTACAGGCTCCCATAAAACATTTTTTTCAGTTGTATCACATTCTTTTAAAAGATTAAAGATTTTGAAGATTTTGTAAATTTTTTTTCGATGAATTAATCTACTACTTTCTTTAGGTGAAAGAAAAAAAATGAAATTTTAATTAACAAAATTTGACCAGATTTTGATGACAGTTAACCTCTATCCACTGGATGAAGCTTGGTTTGAAATAGACAAGAGTTATTTAGTTATACTTTTGAGCAGCTTCCAAAATACCTCTATGTTCCAGTAAAGCCAAAATTATTCTGGGAGGTAAACTGCATTGGACAAGGCAACTGCAAAGAGTTTGTAGGTTTTTACCTCATTTTTTTTTCTCATAGCTTTGTCATCATCCAATAGATCGTGTTCTCCTATACAGACCACATTAGAATTCTGTAACATTTAAAAGGGTTTTGTGGTTTATACATTGAGTACACATCCATGCACATTCATAGTGGACAACATCTACTGCCAGCTTTGTGTTAATTGGCTGCATAATATTGACTTTGATTTAGGTACCTACAACAGAATCTCATAACAAAGATAGAGAATGTGGAACATCTACAACAGCTGGATACACTTAACATCAGCAACAACACCATTTCTAAGATTGAAAACATTGGTGAGTTTGTTCTTGCTATTGATTGCATACTGTATACCTGTACAGTCCTGTGCAACTGTAGCTAATTTTTTATCCTTCATGGAGATGCAAACACTAAATATTGCCCTCTGACACACTGACCTCCCCGAAGATACACAAGATCTAGTCAGATTTTTATTTTACTTTCCGTAATGATTTGATTTACCACCTGCTGTGCTTATAGAGTGTATTAACTTTTGGTACCTCAAGGATAAGCACTTATTCAAAACAGGGCATTTTTTAAGGAAAGGGCACTATAAATATTTCTTTTTTGAGAAATAGCAGATTGTGCAGAACAAAGCTTTAGTGTTTATTTGAAAAGGATCAATAAGACTTGAAGGTGGACATGTTGTTCCTGGATCTTTCCTGGGTAAAATTAAGGCCAGCTAAGCAATTGTCAGAAAAAAAAATTTAAGTCATTGTTCATTTAAAGGGACTGTACACTCATGTGGCCACAATAATTAAGAGACTGAGACATAGACCACTGTTTTTGTAGTGAAGCTTCAAAGGAGAAATTAAAGGAACATGAACCTGGCTGATCGCAATGTTCATGTACCATAATAGTACTGTCTCTGAAATGGAAAAGGGGTGCCTATTGGAATGATAGTGCTTATTCAATAGAGGCCTTTGTAAGAATAGGGGTGCTTATTGAAACAAGGGCACTAAATTGAATCACTGCGGTACCTCCATCCTGATTGTGCAGTTTCTTCAACAGGAGCCATACCCAAACTTAGCACTTTACAGATATCACACAACCGTTTGTCAACTGCTGATGACTTGAGACATTTGTCAGAATGTTGTAATCTGAGGTAATGTTGATTTTTACTGTTTATGGTTCAAACTTACATGTAAAGCCTGCAAGGCTGGCATTCAAAAGTGGGATGGAGAGAGTGATATGCAATCATATGTGCAGATCTGAAACTGAGCGTCAAGTCTTTGAAAACCTTTGATTCCCTTGGTCTTCTTGTATGCCACACAGGCTTCAATCCTTATCTCAATTACGGAAACATTTTCTTTTGCCCCCCTCATCAATGTTGGTAACAGGAAAATGTGACTACTGGTACTTGGAAAAAAAATGGACATTGACAGACTAGAGGAGATAGGTGTTGAAACAAAATATGATGAGGGTTTGGTTGTACCTGTACTTTTTCATCAACTTAACATTCGTAATTACATGCTTATTGAGTAAGTGGGAGAGCAGTATGGGAAAACATTTGGCTCAAGGTCATGATGTATGGACAAATGCAGCTGGGTCTGTGTGTCATGACTGAGCATTAAATTTTTGTCATACCATCACTTTCACAGTGAAAACTTTTCTTTTATTTTTGCAAGTCAGAACAGGAAACTCACAATTCATTGAAAAACAAAACTTGGATTCTAAATTCTGTTTTCTTTAAAGTTCAAGTCCATGATTAAAACTCACTCATTTTTGTAAAACTAGCAAATGTAGCAATGTTTTTTTTTGCAACAAAGTTGTGCAGGCTTGATGGCTTTCACCAGACAGGTTCACTTCAACCTGTCCAGCTCTACAGACTTCATATCAGCTTTTAATACAGTTTTCTATGGGATTGCATCAATGCAATGTGAGATTACGTCAATGCAATTACATCATTTCGATTCTGAGTAATATAACATACTTCATAGGTTAAAGAAATCTTCAAATTTCATTAGGTAAAAGTATTGAATGATCTTTCATGCATCTTGTAGAACTGCTTCAATAGGAATACATAATGTACATTTGAAGTGCACCAACTAATGACTGTCTACAAAGAGAGGAAATCTTCTCTTGCTTTCTGCCTTTTGAGCGACTGTCCATAACCATTTCATGTTGTTTGTCTTTCCAACATGTAAGAAATGTCTCCTTTCTCATGTCTGCTTGTCTGTCAGTCCTGGTGTCTGTCAATCTGTTTTGCACTTATTATCTGTGACTCTCTGTCTGTTTGGTTCTGTCTCACCACTTGCCTAACCCTTTAACTCCCAAGATCTGATTGTTAATTCTCCCCTCTAGCTACTACTCATTTTCTTGTAAATTAGTCATAAGAATGTGGTGTTAGATCAACATGACAACTTCTACCTGATAGGTTTGAGTATTCTCCTTACCAGTTTACTGTATAATGTATGGATATTATCAGTAGCGAGAAATAATAAGTTAATCACTTCTGGGAATTAAGGGGTTAATTCAAACTACATATCCAAGTCCTTCTGAATGTTAGAAATCTTGTTCAAGGTGACTCTCATTGTAATTATTATTGTTCAAGGTGACTCTCATTGTTTAAAATGCTTAGTTTAATATATATATTTTTAGGACCTTGGTAATTGTGACTGAAACATTTCCCTTGCTTTCACAGTGTTCTTGATGTTTCCCACAACCGGATTGACGACCCTGATGTCGTGAAGGTCTTTGAATCCATGGAAAACCTTGTAAGTTGACGGCATTAGCATCTTAAGATGGAAAGTGTTTGATCTCATACACTGTGCATTTTACACGATTTGTCTTGTTTTCTTTCAGCATGTTCTTAATATGATGGGTAACCCGGTCATCAAGAAAATCAAGAATTACAGGAAAATTTTTATCATCAAAATTGTAAGTTTACAAAGCAATGAAGCTACTGTAGTTTATGTGAACAAAAGTTTCAAATAAGGCGCCTGGCTAGCATTTCTAAAATTTTGTCAGACGTGTTACTCCGTAGTACAGACTAACACGATGGTGAACGCCTAACACGGCGATCAAACATCGAGCATACGCAAGGGGATCAATTCTTTCCTGCTGCGCGCCAGTTTCCCGCGCAAAATTTCAAAGGAAAACATCAGAAACAGGCACTGCTCGCAAAGTAAGTGAAAGAAATCTGTAAAAAACAAAACTAGGGAAATGAAAAACTCGAGACTTTTTGAACATCAAAGGTCGATACATTGTTGAATAAAGGGGGTGGTGCTGCGTCGGTTGAAGAGTATGACAGGGTAATTTAGTATTATCAACTGAGTTGATAACGTAAAGTGGCCACCGTAAAGAGTTTTAAAGCTGACGTTTCGAGCGTTAGCCCTTTAAAACTCTTTCCGGTTTTCCGGTGGCCAGTTTACGTTATCGACACAGTTGATAATACTAAATTACCCTGTCAATATACGTTTGACCGACTCGGCTCAAACCACTTACTCTCCATACATATTGTAGCAGCGATCTTGTTTTACGTCGGAGTAGCACATTGTTACAACTAAATTGTGTTGAAAACGTTCGATTCATAAGCGGAAGTGGGTAAAATTTGTACTGTATTTTACTCGAAGTCGTCCACTCAGATTGTTAAGGATATTACCTTTTCTCATCCTATTTAGAAAGGTCTCAGATACCTCGATGACAGACCAGTTTTTCCAAGAGAAAGAGCTTGTGCTGAGGCATGGTAAGAATTCAAACCCTTTTTTTCTTGGAAGACGTAGGTGAAAACAATCTCAAATACGATAATACCCCTCACTAAGTGACGCGAGTGAATGATAAACAGGAAGATTAAGGTTTGCTTGGAGGCCTGTGATTCTATAACGTTTACACACATTTTCAGGGTTAAGTTTATGGGCAACTTAGAGGTAGTACTTGTAGGTGCGTACTTAAAATGGTTTTCTACATTGCATTTTAAGATCATTTGTATTTCACTGGTGCACATGGCTGCGAGTGAGCATCTAAAAGATGCAAGCAAAGACTTAATTATATTTTAAGACGCATTATGAAGGGGAGCAGTAACCCAAAACCAAAACCAAACCCATCGTTCAAAAGTGATCTACCAATTCGCTCAACTACTGAGTGTAGTAGAATAGAGTGCATTTCGATTAAGTGTTGTAAGACCAAAACCAAAGTTATTACGAGGGCCAATCAGAAGGAAGGAAAATGCCCCTAAGGAGTCAATGAGTACACAGAAAAAAATCAAACAAACTACCCAAAGCGCGGGAAAATGTGAGTGACCAAGCCGCGTTTGGTTTAAGGTTTACATCTGATTGGTTGAGAGGGTGGTGCAAATTTCTTGGACCATTCAGAAAGTACAACGAAGCAAAACCAATGCAGTTTCGAATTACCTTCGACACTCAAATGAAACTTGTTGTAAACCCAGTGTTATTTCGGATATCTGTGGGCATCCGATGGAAAAATTATCTATTACTTAGGGAGAAGGGTGGAGTGGAGGCTGAACGAGAAGAAAGAGAAAGATGGATCACACGAGAACAACAAAAAATCATGGATAGTTTTAATGGTAAGAGGATTCAGCCTTTCTTAACGAAAGATTTATGGTTTTAAAAATTTATGAAGTACTTTTACGTTAAGGTATAAAATTTATGAAGTACTTTTAAGTTAAGGTATTATTTGCCAGAGGGTATATGTTAATCTTCTTTTTAAACATTGTTTCATGCAGCCATGGCGAAGATAAGGGAACAAAACGAGCTAAAGAAGGTAAGACATACACGTTCTTGGTTGGTTGGAAATACAACAAATAATTTAAATCTTCATGTGGCGATGAAACGAAACTCAGTTTCACTCCTTAGATCTCCCTAGACCTGTGTGATTTTGAAGGGCACCCAAAAGTTTGTCAGCAATCGACCACCTTACGAGCAACTCTTTTTTTTCGTTTAAAGTGTAAACTAATAGAAGTATCCAGTAGTCAGTCAGTTCAACATGATTGGAATGTTATTGAAAGTTGTGTATAGCCAGGTTTGAAAAAAGGCTACAGTAAAGAGATATTTGGGGGTGCTTATTTAATGTATTTGTGAACTGTGTCTTTCAATACACCAATTTGTTCCAGCTCGGTGAAAAATGAAAATGATTTAATAGATATTTGGTGTCAAAATTCCACACAATGTGAGTGCAAATTTTTAAGATCACATTTGTGTCTTTTCGAGCAGAAGCAGCAGCAAATTACATCGAACGATGAAAACAAAGAAAACAGCAATGGGCCAAGCGATGAAAGTAACAGCGAGAGCAGCCAGTACACTGGGCAACAGCAAACGCGTGCTGAAGAAAAACAGGAGTTTGAAATTGTGTCACGTGTGTTAACTACAAATTGTGTTAACACGAAAACCACTGACCCCAAGGAAGAAGGCGACAATGATTGTTCAGCTTCAGAACCTGAGACGCCTTCTGTTCAGGAAATAGAGACTGTTACAATCGGATCTTCCACTGAGAACCATGTGCTAGCTGATCAAGGAATCTTTAGTGGATCTCGACAGCATCAAGTTAATAGGGCTGGTCCTATGATTACAGAAATAGTTGTGGATGAAGGTAGTGAGTCGTGCAAAAACAATTTTGTGATATTTTATATGTATTTTGAGGCGAGGTTGTGTTCGATATTATATGACAGCTGTTCCTGAAGTATCCTAATAAGCACGACAAGCAACAATTTTAGGTCATGACATAACAACGTGTGTTGTGGCAGATATAATATGAATAAGAAACCCTTTTCATGTAGCTCATTCATTCGGTGCACATGCATGACCAAGTATAGTTTGCAATTTCAAAGCAAAAATGATATCAATGTTTTACAATTAGCTTTGCTCGTTTCTAGATGAGGAAGAGAAACGTAAAGGAGAAGGAGTGTTGATCACAGAATTAGAAGGTACGTTCATGTGAAACTGGACTGAACCAGTAAAGTAAATTAGTGTTTGCTTGTATTACTGTTGATTTTGCATCTTATTTGATAAGAAGGCTCCTACAACACCATCGGCGCAAGCACAGTCATCTTTCCCCACTCTGTAGTGTTGTTGTTGTTGTTGTTGTGATTGTTATTCTATTGTTTATTTCTAACTTAACTAAAGTGAAAGGCAACAGCCCCAGAGTCTGTTAATTTCGCCCATCACAAGCTTGTTCTTTTCGCTTTTAGCTTGGTGTTGACAAACAACTAGTATCTTATCTCAAGTATAACGTATTCAGCGTTGATCTTTTTTTAACGTATCAGGTTTTCTTTCTTTCCTCAGAAGATGACATTGAAACGATATCACTGGGAGAGGTTCCTAGGGAAGAGTCACATGATTTCCCTGATCCCCCTGAAGAGGTTTGTTAGATTTTTAATATTTTGCACATAACACAGTCGACCTCACTGTACCATCTACAAATAAAAATAAAATTTTTACTTTTTCCCCTCATATGATTACCTAAGAAGAATTCATTAAGGTTATTCAGACAGGTCTTGTTCCGCTGACAATATGGAATTTAAGGTTGATCAAGGGACTAAAAATAACTCCCTGTGTAATTCTATCGCAGGATTTGCCCGAGTTGGAGGAAATTGATGTGACGGATCCGTTCTTCATTCGCAGCTTAAACTCCTCTCATACCAAGGTAAGATACGAACTAAAGTTTATTTACTTTGTTCATTCGAGGACCTCTCAGTTTTGAAGAAAAATTCATTCACACTGCCCCACCTCATTATTACTGGAGTACACATATTGTTCTTGGCTTCTTTCACTCTTCAGTTGTCAAAGCTTAAAAAATCTCAACAAAAGCTTCCCATTAGGTTACGTCTTCCTTTTTTTTCGCTTATTCCTTGCCTATATGCCGGGCTAATTTATTCGTGAGGAGAATTCGCATCGAAGGGTTTAACGAGACAAATTTATGATGACAAAAACTACATAAATTTGTTTTTTCCTCAAGGCAGGAAAGCGCCAAACCAACGACAAAACGTTTAGCAAAAGGAACGAACAACGATCACTCTTAAGAATGTGCTGAGGCCCTACGTGCTGAGGCACATTGTAGATGAACATCCCCTGCGTCTTTGTTGAAATTTACCTACGGCCTATAGTTCTTTTTAAGGCTTTAATAGCCATCCATTATTCTTTAGAGTGCCATTCGGCCTTCCGTCATGAATATGTAGGATACTTGACGTTTGTGTAGCAATATTTTGGTAATGCTTACGCATTCACCTCTAAGATGATAAAAAACCATTTGGTTTTTACAAATTTAGTGATTTAGTTATAGTGTAAAAACGCAATAGGAGAAAAGTCGATGATCGAATTTTCTCCCATTGCGTTTTTATACACGTTTCGTACTTAAAAGGTCTTCTATAGGTCCCTTGTTTTATTAACGTCGTCTTAAAGAACTCCATCGTCAGAGGTGCACGTACTTTTTCTTCGAAAAACATTAATGGTTCAGAGCGAGTTTCCAGCTTCTCATTTATGTTGATTTTGTTTCCATAGAGAAAACCACTTATTGAGGAGATGGACAGTAATTTGGGATCGCAAGAGAGACCGCTTATTGAAGAATACCGACGAGAAGAACTCCCTTTCAGTGACCAAGAAAAAGCCCTACCTGCAAGGAAACCTTTGATCGAGGAAATAGACGAAAGGTTTGCACGGTTGGAAACGTCTTCAAAGAAACCAAGTAAAGCACTTATCGAAGAGCTCGATGTGGTAGATGACAGGGAAGAATCAAAGCCACTTATTGCAGAGATATCTTATGACGAACAGACACCAGATGCAGATACTGCTGGAAGGCAAGAATCTGGGCTCATCGCCAAAGCTTGTACCCAGTCTACGACTGGTCCATCTTGGGAAACACTGCAAAGACTCGCTGAACAAGTTGGATCGACGATAGAACGGGAGCCACTTGATATGAATAAGGAAAAGAAGGCTTTTATGAAGAGGATGCATGACACCAACTTAGGAGACTTGGACTAAAAACACTAAAACAGCTGAATGTTAACGGGCTACGTTACAATATTTGAGCCATACTTGATGACGTGCAAAGCTACCTTCATATGTGTGTGGAAAGACAGGAAAACACAAAAGAGGCAATGATAAACCAAGAAGGAACAAGAATGGAGAAGATTTACAATGGATTGCATGTGATGGACTGACATTGCTCAAACTACTTTGCGAAAATGCTCTTTTAAGAATAGTTCATTAGCAGAAGGCTGATGAAGATGCTCGTATTATTGTTTACGACCATCACATAAGGCTTTGTATGATTATGTGACAACACGGTAACAACAAAAGTACTTACTTTGGTCCCAAAGTGTTCCGTGCATTTGAGATTTGTCTTAAAACAAGGCGACAGGTGGTTGCCACATAAAGCTTTAAATGTTGTCAATTGCATGCTAATGTCACATCAGGTAAGATGCGCGATCAAAAGCAGCTGCATTTTATGGTCATAATTTCACATAAAAATCGTTTAAACGATCCTTGCAATGCTTGTCTTTGTCATCCTTTCAGTGGTTCAGGGACTTTTTTCTTCGATGGTATGAAAAGTTCGGAAAAGGCCCAAAGGCCATGTTACAACCCCTTGGTTCGGTAAGAAATTATATTATGCTTGCGTGATAACGTCTTTTGGAGCAATTTGTAATATGAAAAGGAAGGTCTACTTCAAAATTAGGGGGCAATAGCAGTCTTGCGGAGTGATCTACCAATCAAAACGGATAACCGTAAGAAGAATTTTTATTGTCTAAAGATTTCCAATCACAGAGGCGGGTAAGAAATATTAAATTTTAATTGACCAAAGACAATTTTCCTTCTAGTCTGATCGATGGAAGATGGGCTTTTTCTAACTAGCAGGTAAATGAATAATTTCTAACTTTTTTCGTCTGTTTCAGTATATATCTTCTCGATCATCGTTTGCAAAGTCAGTAATTAGCCACAAAAAGTACGCGTCAAAACTGCTGATATGAAACTGCGGTGGAAATAAACGGCCGTAGGAAATAGAGTTTCCAAGCGGTTCGCTTCGTGGAAGAAAGTAAACTTGTGTCTTTCAGATCCTCACAGAAGGTACGAATGTTTGCACCATAATCATCCACTCGAAGGTAGCAAAATTATCGCTTTAATACAAACTCACTTGAATATCAGTTCCTCTTTTGAAAGCAATCGATATCGTGACATCAGCCATTAAAGTCTGAGGTGGAAAGAAATCCCATAAGCTCGTTATATATTCATGTTCTATCTCTAGTGATCGAAATAAAGAATTCCATTTCCGATGAAATATATGTTCACCAACCGGACGAGTGAATTTTCAGTCACGTAGAAGTGAGAATGACGAAGAGTCGTTGTTTTGAAGTATTCCACAAATACATGCCTCCTCTTTAGAGAAATTGGCTTTTCTTCGAAGGAGCAAATTTTCGTTGTTTATTTCTCATTTTCCATGTTGTCACTTCTCACTAAATTAACAACATTTCCAACATTGTTTGTTGGCTTATATAAAAAGTCACATACATCTTTGAAATGCATTTTCAATGGAAAGGTAACACCCTAATGTGCTTTTTGTGCCTTTATCATCGTAAAGACCGTTCTGAATATTTTTTCATGCGAAATAATAGCATTAATTACGAAAATTGATGGGCACATTTCCAGTTGAAAGCAATAGAGCAAAGTTGAAGTTTGGCAACGCTGATGAATTCAAAATAACAAAATAGAATTCAGTTGTTTCTTCTTTTAAATTGTACAGAGGAGACCTTTCTATTTATCCATCAGTCACTATATGGCGTGAGGTCTTCGAAACCAGACATTTTCCAATTACACGATGCCTTTTCAATATTTAGTAACTGCATTTTTATTGCGAAATAAATTGCGACAATAAATGCATTAATGTTGTATGAGAAACTTCAGAGTATATCGTTCTGTCTCAAACGAAGCTTCAATTATGAATAAAGTTTCTCTGAAGTTGGTTTAAGGTGTTTTCTGTTTGATCGCGTGAAATTATTCTTTAAAAAACAAATGAGTCAAATAATCTCCAAATACATTTCTTTTCTTACATCTGCTCTGCCCAACATGATTGATAAAGTGTTGTTCAGCGGGGAGTCGTTGGAGATGAGGTAGCCTTATCGTTTGCTGTGATAGCGCCAGGTGATAAACACATTTCAATAATACAGCCTTCAGAAGTGAATAAAATAAATTCGTGTTTGTACGGTTTGCTCATTGTAAACTCTGGTTAGTAAATGATAACAGAAGCTTTACATTTCTATTTTAAACATAAAAAGAGCATTTTTGTGGGTGGCACTGACATATTTCCCTTTTAAGGTGGCTCAAAGTAGAGTTATCATTTTTAAACACCAATTCTTTGATAGAACGTAGCTTCCACACTGCTCTTTTGTTTCCCTACAGATATGTGGTATAATGAAAACGGCCTATTATTTCTCAACAAGTAATTAGTTTTGTACATGTGAGGTTATCATAGCAACTGATCATGAACAGCCTTGAACCCTTTGACTCCAAGAGTAACTGGTATCCAAAATCTCCTCACAGTATCACTATTGAATCACGCTTTAAGGTTATGAGAATGAAGGAAATGATTACCGACCAAAGAAGCTCTTGACTGTTACACAAATTCTACTTGACAGCATCTTTGGAAATTTGTAAAGAACAGTCTGAAGAAAATGCTTACTGATGTTTAGGTGTAAAGGGTTATATGAAATTTGTGTGCCTCTAACTTAGGAAACAGTCCAGTGACCACTATCCGTATTGTTAGGATACTCTCGCTGACCGGAACAAAAATTCGAGAAGAGATCGATCCGTACAGCGAACGGCCTAGAAACGATGTTTTTTATTCGACAAAAAAAAGCAACAACAATGACAACAACAAAATTTGGTGGGTTTCTGTAGTTCGACTTCAGTAACCTTGGAGATTTCTGGAGAAATGATGCGATGGTCAAGAACCTGGGTTGACTTGAAAATTCTCGTCTTGAATTGCCACGTTTAACGCTGGTGTCGTTCACGTGCCTTATGATGGTTCAGCTAAAAGGAACGAACAACGAAACCAGATTGAGATACCAATCCGAAAGATCAAAGTTCGTGGATAGATCATTCAAATTACAAGTTTAGATTGGTTTGGTCCTCAATGGAACAGAAAATCGAATACGTCTAAAGATTAAAGAAATAGAGGAGAGAAGGAAAGAAAGAAAAAGCAGAAAAAAAAACGAAAATGAAAAAACAAAAGTAGAGGAAGACTAGAGAGAATCTTATTATGTAAATTTTTAAGTTTTCCAGTCAAGATGGACAGATTTCGCCCTCATTATTTTTGCGTATGTGTTTTTGTAGACTTCCAATTCTTCTCGCTCCGTATAAAACGCAAACATATACAACCACTTTGGTCAATAATGCATATTTATCAGCAGAATGTTAATATTTAACACAGTGTTCTGTCGAAATTGGATGAACGAATTATCAATATTTTCCACCAACCGTCGGCATCCTTCAGAAGAACACATCTAGAAACGGTTATGAAATGTAAGATTTTTTGAAATTAGTTTACAGCTCATATAATTATATATTTTGGACCGATTGTTGGTTTGGAGTGTTTCTGGATCGACTGAATGGGATACAAAAGGCAACAAGGATCAAAGCCGTATTTAAATTGCAATTTACTGACGTCAACACGTTTCTTTAACAATGGTGCAATTAAAAACGCTGAGATAATACGAACAAGGCGTAATGTCTTTTCTTGAAAGAAACGAACCTCAATTTTTCACAATGATTTTCATACTAACAGAAAAGTAAATTAACTACATTAGTTATTTTTAATTTTGTATTTTAAAAAAAAATTGGCGTTTTTTTAACGCTTCGGTGAACTGATGGAAGTAACATTTTGTCACACTACTTTCCCCGTAAGACTTCGAAGTGATCGTAGCGTTGGAATAAAACATGTTCCTTCGGCAAGAGATCAGACGAAATAGATGTAACTGAAAATTACAATCATAACAAAAATGCTGCTGCAAAAACAATGAGCTTATTTTACAGCTTAACGCTAATAAAACGCGATTGTAAAAAATAAAAAACCTTATTAGTTAAAACTTAAAGTGTTAAATTAAATTTATTTCTCCTTATATTGCTGTCAATCAAACGAATTGGATAGTCAGAGTCCCAGCTCTGTTTTCGCTTAGGAGAGCGAAGATTGAGTCACGGATCACAGAAGCGCTAAACAGAGTGCGAGATTTCAGACGAAGACCTGCGACGGTAAGATATAAATATAGACGTCTTTTTGAAAACAAAAACATAAACAAAAACAAAACAAAAAAACAAAAACGAAAAAACGACGAACGACGTGCTTTTTTATCCATGAAAGAATTCATATTGCTTTAGCCATAATTTAACATCACCTGTGTAAAAATTTTTTAAACAGTTAAATTTATATCCGTAAGTTTTAACTTTCAGCCATAGATATACCTTATTTTCAATTTTTATTTCTCGGGCTAAGGCCTTACCTTAGCCACAGTGTCGATACGAATACAATCAGGAGGGCGTACTGATTATTTCATATGGACGAGCAGAAAACAATTTCGGTGCAGTTTCCGGCAACCATTTTTTTTCTCCTCAAAAAATACCTTCTGCTTATAGAGAAAAATGTCCAGAGGTTAGGCAGAATCTTGGCCGACTTCCAGCAATCCTTTTTTTTTTCTGCGAGATCAACGAGGGCAATCTTGAGCGGGAAAGAATGGGACCATCTTAGGGTCCAGGTGGTCTGAAGTTTGGGCTAAATCACCGCAACGTGTGCTAAAAATACACACTTACGACTTGGTTATAAGTCAACTCAAAGAAACTTGCATATGTTGAAAAAGATATTCATTGTTTCATTTCCTTTACCCGGAGCCAGCACCTCAAATTGCATCTAATCAGTGTAAAAAACAAATCTTCGTTATTGTAAGTTCTGCCAGGAACATAAGTGGTATGATGGACACAAGTATCTTGAGTAAAGTTTTTATGCTTTGGGCCAATCGTTTTCAGCACACAATGCTTGAATGTGCGACTAGTAAAGTTCGTAGTCTACAATTGTATCACGAAACTGATTTATGGTGCATTTTAAATTCGCAAACTGCCTCAGCCGTGGGAAAGCGAGTGGCAACTTGTAATTGGTTTAGATTTTGCAACTTATTGGTCGAAAGGTGGCGATTAGATTCTCGATCAATCACAAAGCGAATAACGTCATGCAAAACCAAAGCAAACCAAAACAAACAGCTTTCTTTCGTTTTCTTAGAATGATTCGTTTATTATTGGTCTTGCAAGAAATGATCTCTTTGAGACGGCTGGTGACTCAACCTGTGAACCATCAAAAACTCGACAAAAATGAAAGGTATATAATGTCGTCCTTTCAAAAAATTGAAGAAAATCAATTACTTAATTGGGCAACGCACCTGTTTTTCCAGCAAATAATGTGAAGCCTAATACTTTTTCATGATATGTGATCACATTTTGTTCAGCGTAGTAATAGGGCAGTAGTTTGTAAGTTTGGAGTCAGTATTTCACTTCAT